AGGAACTAGAGGAATGATGTGTGATTTGTCAGTGCTATACCTTACCTTGGTTGAAACATCCCTTCCTTATAACCCTTCTGTGGGGGGATATCCAGTTGTCTACAGACAGGCTTTGGGTCTCTACTGCAAGACCCCTCTTTCACATTCATATAGTTGTTTGTTTTGGATCTTTTGATGTTTGATACTGTCAACACCTCATGATCACACAGGCTGGTTTGCTTCTTCTATGTGGGCTTATTTGCGTCCCTGCTAGATGGCCACTTGTTTGACTTCAAACCTTTAAGACCCTAGACGCTGTATCGTTTGCTAGCCAGGCACCATCTGCTCTCTTCACCACATTTGCTTATGCACCCATTTGATCTTTAGCATTCATGTTGGGATGGTGAGTATGGAATAGTGCCAGATTATCAGAACAAAATGCTCTTGTTCCAACTTCTACATTTTGAAGTGCTTCAGAATTCGGTGCTTGATCTTTTCCTGTTTTTACATTTATTCTTCGGGTCATTTTGCCCAAAGAATAAATGTAAATACATTCTTAAAAAAATCTAAATATCTTCTTGCCCAAAGTGTTAAATAATGTCTCTACACTGAGACTCCCAAATGTGTATCTTATCTCTAGTCTTACCTCTCCTCTAAGCTCTAGTCTACTATAGTCAATTTTGTGTTAGCAATATAGTAATATTGCTAATATTTTTTATAACAAACATTTTATTTGTTATAAAAATAACATTTGACATATTCAAATAGATAAAACAACTGTATTGTTTCATTCTATAACCTATTCCAGATTGCCCTCAAGTAAGAAATCTTTGATTCTTTCCTTTTTTCTTACCCTTACTCATTTAGCAAGTTTTGTTACCTAAACATATGTTCTGCATCTAGCCATTTTTTAATACCTTTCTCATTACTACGAGGACTCAAGGTAGAACTGCCTCCTGGGGTTTCCTAGGTGATAACTCTTTGTGAAAGTAAAATGCCTCATCTTTCTCCCGTGGGATGACTGGTGATTTGAACCGTGACCTTGCAGTTAGCAGCCAACAGTAACCATTACACCACCAGGGCATCTCTTAATTGGTTAATACCTAATCTGCTGTACTGAAATCAAACCCACCCCTCTGCTTCCTGGAATATCCCAAGCTCCTTTCTGCCTTCGGCCCCACCATGTAACTCTTCCCATCTACCTGATAAACTCCCCAGAGCTTCACATGGCTTGCTCTTTCACTTAAGGGCTTTGCTGAGATGTCTGCCGCCTTTTCTTCCATACCCCTCATTGCCTTCCATCATTCTGTTAGATAACTGCATGTTTGTTGTTTATCATCTTTCCTCTCCACAGAAACTGCACATTCATGAAGGCAGAAACTTGTTTTGTCTTAATCCCCAGTGCCTGAAACCAATTGCCCTTGAGTTGATCTAAAGCAATCGCATGTTTATTAGAAAAGAACTGAGGTCCGTCAAGTTTTCAGCAGCTGGTTTTTTTTTTTAAGAAAGTAGATCACCAAGTTTCTGGAAACACCATTAGCATTCACAAAGTTCCACTCTTTTGGTTAATAGCTGTTCTGTGTGTTAACAATGTGCCCCTTGCAGGTACCCTCATTAGGATAATATGTACCTTGTAATAGATGTGGACAAAGATATAGTGGACAAATAAATCCACTTTTAGTGAGAACAAATAGCTGGCTAATTGACAAAATTTGAGTATCCTTTCCTCATGTTCAGTTTTCTCTAACTTTTGTAGTATTGACACCTTTTTCATTACCCTCCTGTCCTAATTTCTGAATTCTTAACAATCAGCTATCCGATAGTGCACCGTATCCTATTGGTCTCCATATCCTGTTCTTCCATTGTATATCGGCTCTCAAATTCATGCCCTCTTCTCATCACCATTTCAACTGAATTCAGACCTTTAACATCTCATACTACTTGATTGCAGTATAACTTGCTTCTCATTTTGTCGTACTTCAATATATCCTCTCCATTATCATCAGACCGAACTCTTAGAGATATTATTTATCTTTCTATCTGGTACAGCATTCAGTACTTTTATTTTTTGAGATTTGGATAAAAGAATACAAAGCAAATTGTTTTTTCCGTTCCAACTGTTTTTTTATACACTTTGCTTTGGGACTGGTAGTTAATAATTTTGTGTCAACTTGAAGATACATTAAAGTGTAGGGGTGGTATCCAAACTGTTAATCAGGTCACAGCCTAATGATGACTCCTTGTGGGTGTGGCCTTCTCCTAAAGAGAGTCTAGGGACCCCCCCCCACCCCCCGCCCCCCCAATCACCTCTGCCTTCACCTGCTTGCTGCCCCTAAGAACTGCTGGAGCCTTGTGCTGTTTCCACCAACTTTGTATCTATATGATTTTGCACCGACTGGCGTGTGATATTCCTGCATTCATCATTGCATATGTGTGCATGAGTCTGAAGAGGGACTTAGAAACCAGTACTGGACTTAGGGACTTGAGTTGGATTGGGTTGGGATCCTTCCTTGATATATAATTACTCCTTGATATGAAGGTCTGTGTTAGAGTTCTCTAGAGATAAAAACCAGGACACTTATGATTTTATATTTATTTTATGCTTATATAAAGTATAAATACATATACTATATATAATATAAATATATATACTACATATATGCAGTATATACACACACACACTGCATGAAAGAATATAATAGCTAATTAGTCCACACAGCAGTACAGAAGATTCAGTTCAACTTACTTCCTTGGAACAGTTAATATACTGGAAGTCTTCAACTCTCAACTCTCGAGGGCTGCGGGGTCCAAGGTCAAGGAAGCAGACAGCTAAGTCTTCCCCTGGGCAATTGAGGCAGTCCAGCCACAGGCAGCAAACAGCAGTCAGCAACAGTGAGCAGCTCAGGAGCTTAGCAAAGCAGGTCTGGATGGAATATCGAACTCAAGCAATGCTAGACAACAGGATCTGACAGCCTCAGGCTCAGGCAATGCATACACCAGCAGCAACATGGCGAGGCAGGTCTCTAAGGAATCTCAAGCTCTAGTGACATGAACCACTGGTTGGCTGTCCCCAGGTAGTGTAGCTCACAAGTTGAGGCAGAGAACTAGCTAAAGTAGCCACTGGTCAGATCACCAGAGAGCAAGAGAGAGAGGGGCGGGGCTTGCCAAGCCATTTATCTCTTTGCCCTCCAATCAAACTGCGACCTTATTAATCCCACATGTTCCTGTTGGCCAGGTTAGCACAATAAACCTACCTATCACAAGATCCTTCCACATATATGAATGTCTCTGAATTTGTTTCTCTAGACAACCCGGCCTAACAAAGTGACACTTATTGCAGTCCTCACAATGTAACAGTACTCTTCCTTTATCCAGCTATCTATATCTATCTATTTATAGCAGGTCCTCAGTGAATAGTGAATGAATAGTTCTGTATTTCTAGAAAGTGGGGTTTGTGGGCCATATGATTATTTCAATGTCAGCAATTCTTTGAAAATAATTTTTACTTAAGTGAGCCGCCTTGTCTTCTTTTTAGAAAGACTGAAGCAAATCTGTGTTTTACATTGTATTTTGTTTTGTTTTTTTATGCACTATTTAAATGACTAATGACATAATGTACTATTGGCATTATTTCACAATAGAGTTTTGTTTTTTGCTATAATAGACTTAGACCAGTATCTGTGTTTTTCTGTTGAAACAGTCTCTCCTTTTCTCTTAGCTACAGTCTCCAGTGAATACTGAGTAGCTGAGGAATTGGGAGCAGACCACTGGCATTTCCATTCCATGGATCCCTTGGGCGCACCTTCCCAGTTTGTGGATGTGGACACACTACCACGTTGGGGACACTCACATGAAGATGAACTAAATTCTTCTGATGCTGATGCTGAAAGATTACAGCAAGACGTTATTAGATCACCTTTCCCTTATAATAAGGCTATCAATAGAAAAGTCATTCTTTGGTAATTATTTGATTAAATCCTGACATGATGTCATAACACTTTCATATAATTTCCTCTCAACTTTTTTCTTATATACCCCAGAATTGTAGAAATTTCAGATATTTTTAAGGTTTCTACTAAGATACAATTAACATCCAATGACCTACAAATATTCTGAATGTACAGTTTGATACGTTTTGACATATGTGTATAGGTGTACAAAACCATCACCACAATCGAGAACACCTCCATCACCTCATAAAGTTGTCTCCAGTCTTTTTACAATGCTGTCTCCTGCTGCTCTCCATTCCATATCCCAAGCAACCACTGACCTCTCATACAAGTTCGTTTGCCTCTTCTAGAGCAGCAGTTCTCAACCTGTGGGTCGTGACTCCTTTGGGGGTTGAATGACCCTTTACAGGGGTTGCCCAATTCATAACAGTAGCAAAATTATAATTATGAAGTAGCAACAAAAATTATTTTGTGGTTGAGGAGTCACCACAACATGAGGAACTGTATTAAAGGGTTGCAGCATTAGGAAGGTTGAGAACCACTGTTCAAGAGTATTATATAAAAGAAACCATACACTTTTGTTTTGATTTTAAATGTATACGTCATATCTCTTTAGTCAGAGTTATGCAGTTGTCATTATAATCAATATTAGAATATTGTATGCCCCTGGAAAGAGACTCCATTCCCATTGAGAATCACTGGCCGTTTCACCTAATGTCCTTCACATACACAACTACTAATCTCTCTTGTGTTTGCCTATTCAGAACATTTCCTACAAATATAATCATAATATGTAGACTTTTTTTAAATTTAATTTTTAAGTTTTTAAAGCTTAATTTGCTTTCAAGATATTTTCATGTTGTAGCATATATTAATGTTTTACTCTTTTATTGTGGCCCAATAATAGTCTGTTATATGAATATGCAACATTTTGTTTATGAGTTGATGAGCCTTTGGGATGTTTCTACTTTTTTTTCCCTTAATAAATCATTTTATTGGGGGCTCGCATGTATATTATAACAAACCATACATCTGTTACCTCAGGCGGACATGTACAATTACTGGCTTCAACAATTTCTAAACATCTTTTTTCTTGAGCCCTTTGATAACAGTTCCTCTTTTTTCCCTCCCCTCCCCCACCCTGCCACCCCTGCGAACCCTTAATATATTATGTATTGTTATCATTTTTACATATCTTACATTCTGTCCCTTCACCTGTTACCCTGGTTTTCTTCCCCTGAGGGGCGTTATTCTGCCCTCGTTGCTATCCATTCCCCCTTTCCTCCCCCTTCCCTTCCCCAATCCTCCTCGAATCATTGCTCCCCTTAAAGTTTATGTAGGGGTTTGTCTTCCTTGAATTCCGATTCTTGAAAGCTCTTGTCTGTGCAACTGCCTATACACCAGTCTAGCTGAAGTTGCGAGATTGGACTGAGAGAATAGTGGGGGAAGGAAGGATTAAAGACCTGGAGAAGTGTTGTGTATTTCACCAGTGCTGAACCGCCCCCTGGATGCATCTGTGTGGGAATGTCCAATTGTCCACAGATGGGCTTTGGGTCTCTAGCTTGACTCCTCTCCAATACCTCGATGAGGTTGTTTATATTTGAAATTCTATTGTCTTTCCACTCGACACCTCATCATACATGCTGGTGTGCTTCTTCCATGTGGGCTTTGTTGCTTCCCTGCTAGATGGCTGCTTGTTTGGCTTCAAGCTTTTAAGACCTGAGATGCTATATCTTTTAATAGCCGGGTACCATCAGCTTTCTTCACATTTGTTTATGTACCCAGTTTGTCTTCAGTGATCATGTTGGGTCAGGCATTTATTAATCCAAAGTATTCTTGTGTTGAGGGATTAGTTAAGTAGAGGCCCAGAGTCCACGGCCTCAATGTATTGCCATATAAATATATGTACATGGGCTAATACCCCTATTGTTATGCATTCATATAGTTACGTATATACACCTCTGTTTGTGCCTCTATAAATAGTTTTGGTTCCTAGTTCTTTCCTCTATTTCCTTTTACCTTCCTCCTGTCCCATGTCATGTTCACCCCTCATTTGCCTCTCATTAATTTTCCAGCTAGATTCCGGCTGCTCCACCACTACCAGGACTTCTCTTCCCCTCCGCTGTCAATTTCAGATTGTAGCTGTTCCCCTGGCTGTGTGGGATGTTTCTACTTTTTAACTATTATGAATAATGCTGCTGTGTCTAAACTCTGTTTAAACCAACTACCATACTCTCACCTCTTCCCCACACCTGTTCTTTATTGTTTTGTGTTTCCTTAGGAAAGGGGATGTGGCAATACTAAACTGTACAGCCATTGTGAATACCAGCAATGAGAGCCTCACAGATAAGAATCCAGTGTCAGAAAGTATCTTCATGCTTGCAGGGCCTGATTTGCAGGAGGACCTCCAGAAACTCAAAGGTGAATACAACTTGCTTATTGGTTGTTGCATGCCAGGGAGTTGGTTCCAACTCGTAGAGACCCTGCTCTCCGTGGAAGAAGCAGGGCCCAGTACTGCGGCCTCCTTAAAACCGTCATGATGGCTGAGCCCATTGTTGCAGCCACGTGTCAGTCTATCTTGTTGGAGATCTTCCTCTTATTCGCTCACCCTCTTGGGAAATGTTTGCATTCCTTGGGAAATATGATGTTGATATTCTTTACCTTGAAGGTGCATAATTTAAGCTTAAAAAGAAAATAATGTAAGTGTAACTGTTTAGTTTAAAGAGAAACAGCATTTGAAAAACCCCACAGTGTGTTAAAAGCTGAGCTCTAAGACTTTGCTGTCAGCTAAATCCATCATGTTTCTAAATTTTAAAGTGACAGTCATCATAGCCAGTTGGCTCTTGGGGAGTATATTCCTGGCTGTATGCTTTCGTACTCTGATAAACCATGTAAACAACTGTCACCACTACAGCTGAAAACGTGTATTGGGAGATAGTGGTAGAGAATATTTATGTACTTCTACCCATGGACTGTTGCACTTTTGAAATTCAGTGCCTTATTTAAAAGCAGAGTTCATAGCACGAGTAAGCATTCTCAATTTTATACTTAAATTATTTTTGCCAGAATATTTTTTCATAAATGTTTTTTTGGAAGTGGGAATAGGAAAAGGTCGGTTTGTTCAGAATCTTAGGTCCTTGTAGTTGCATTCATTTTTTAATCACCAACTGAGCAATGCTTTGTTAGGATTATTTGAGCCCAGATGGAACATTATGAAATTCAGTCTATTTTATTAAAAAATGTATCTGAAGTACAACTTTTAAAAATGTAAACAGCAAATCCCGCTGTATAAATCTTGCTTTCCTTAAATACTGACAACTAGTTTCTAATCTAATAAAGTGCTAACTTAAAGAGAGGATATAAGTTATGTACTACAAATTCACAGATAGTAGAAAGCTGGGAGGAACAGGAAGAGACATCAGATGATAAAGAGTTCTAAATATCTAGACTGACTAGAACTGTGAGCCACAAAATGAAACATAAACTTGGATGAATATAAAAATTTTGTAGAACTTTTGAAACATCAATTATCAAAGCTTAGGATGAGGGGAGCCCAGTTTGACAACCTTTCTTATATAAGTATTTGCCATCTCTTTAAAATGGCATTTCATCCACTCCATTGTTCATGCAAGAAATTTTAGTGCATATTCCTCTGGTTCCTTGAGGCTTTCTCACCCCCACTACCATGACCCCAGTGCGGCTTCTCAATTCAGACTAGACCGGAACATGTACACAGGTATAGAAAGGGATGGGAGCTCATGACACACAGAATCCAGGAACAGGAGAGGGAATAGTGATACCAGAAGGGTAGGGGAAGAGGGGAAGAGGAAGGAAGGAAGGGGGAACTGATTGTAATGATCAACACGTAACCATACACCCTTCTCCAGGGGGAAGAACAACAGAAAACATGGGGGAAAGGAGATAGCGATCGGTGTGAGATATGAAAATAACAATTTAAAATCTATCAAGGAGTTATGGGACACGGGGGTGCGGGGCGGGAAGAGGAGCTGATACCAAAGGCTCAACAGAAAATAAATGTCTAGAAAAGAATGAAGGCAACATATGTACAAATTTGCCTGATGCAAGCGATATATGGATTATAACAAGAGTTGTAAGAGTTCCCAATAAAATGATTAAAAAAAACAACTTTAGTGCAACTTGACCTATTCCTTATCCTTCACATAAAATCTGTCATCAAGTCTTAAATATATATTGAATCTTTTTATGTGTACTTCTTCCTAGTCTATCGTACTCATCTGCCTCGATTACTAGTTTCCCAGTTCATCTCCCTATAGCTATTGTCATGCTTCTTAAAACCTTAAACCTTACCACACTAAACAAGGAGCCCTGGTGTAGTAGTGGTTTATGGAGTGGATTACTAACCATGCTATCAGCAGTTTGAAACCATCAGCCAGCTGCAAGAGAGAAAGATGAGGCTTTCTACTCCCATAAAGATGTACAGTGTCAGAAACCCACGGGGAGTACGCTTTGTCCTGTGGGGTCTGTGTGAGGTGGCATTTGCTCAGTCGATGGCAGTGAGTTTGGTTTCTGGAACACACTGTACAGTAAGTGCTTGCTTTCTTAAGTCGTAGATTTCATCTTTCTGCTCCTGTTTTAGCCTCTGTTCAGGCAATCTTCACTACTTAAGCTGGTCTTCAAAACCTGGAAGAACTCATTTTCTCTCTAGTTGTTTCCTTCTTTATAGTGATTTTTTTGGTGAGGATTTTCTGCTTCATGTTTTCTCTCCCATTCTTTTTGTCTAAGTCTGTTTACACCTAGTATGTGTCCTCTCTGTCAGGTTGGAACGGAATGCACAGAGCTAAATACTTGTTTTCAATCCATGTTTTTTCTCAGATTCATGGACTTTCCCAAAGTTTTTAAATTTTAACTTTCTCTATGTTATGCTTTGTTGTGTTCCTTGTAACATGCCTGTGATGTATTTATGCTTCCATGGTGCCCAGGTTGCCGGACAGGTGAAGCCAAGTTGACCAAAGGATTTAATCTAGCTGCCCGGTTCATCATTCACACAGTGGGACCTAAGTACAAGAGCCGCTACCGCACAGCCGCGGAGAGTTCCCTCTACAGCTGCTACCGAAACATACTTCAGTTGGCAAAGTAAGGCTGACTCATTTCTTGGCTGTTGCATGCTACACAGTTTAAAGGTCCTGGTTTTAAAAATAAAGCTTAGCTTTGGAAGTAGAATATTTAGGGGGAACCTGTTTATAAAATTATCTTTTTAAGCAAAGGAAGGTAAATGGAATGGATCCAGTCTTTATGTGAAAAATATATCCTTGAAATGGTACAATTAAATTAGTTGTTATTTATTGAATAATGTACTTAGGTTAGCTATTATATTAGGTTTATTGAAGAGGGGGAGGGAAGGAGAGATTGAGCTGCACTGTGAAATTAGTTATATATGTAATACTTGGAAATGTTTTCACGGCAGTTTTTGTGTTTCCTTGGTCACAGAGAACAGTCGATGTCTTCTGTTGGGTTTTGTGTCATTAACTCTGCGAAGCGAGGGTACCCTTTAGACGATGCCACACACATCGCACTTCGTAAGTAATGCTGGAGATTCTGTGCGCAAAGGGAGTCTTGAAAATCTGATTTATCACAAATGATAGCCAAGTTAGTCTCCGTGGGGCACGAGTGGGTAAGCATTCAACTATTAACTGAAAGTTTGGTGGTTTTAAACCTCCATGAAGTGTCTTGGAAAACAAAATTGGCAATCTGTTTCCAAAAGACAGCCTGGAAAACCATGTGGCGCAGTTCCACTCTTCATAAGTGGGGTTGCCCTGAGTGCAATCAGCTAGCTCATCGGCGTCTGACGGCAATAGTGGTGCAGTTAGTTCTAGCCAGAGTAGAGTTCTGATTATCGCTCCCTGCAAGGACGTTCCTACTGATGAGACGCAGGGCTCTCCATTGACTTTTGGGGGTGACATTTTTGTTCATCTAAGCAAAGGCATAGAAGACTTGCGTGTTAGCTTTGAAAATGATATCAAGCTGAGAATGTTGCTCATGGCATTGGCTAATAGAATCCGAATAATCTGAATGAGCTAAATTAATAGAGCTCATCATTTATTTCGATATTACTTTGGGGCTTAACCAGCAGCTTTCACCTGTGCTATTTAAATTTAAAACCCCACATGCAGGCTCAAGATGAGCCTTGGCTTATTCTTTATGAACCTACATCTGACAGAAAAATAAGGTGTTTAGCTCATAAAGTCCATAACCCTATGCAAGTTCAGATCATGTCAAGAGTTTCACATACAGAGTTCTAGGTGTCATGTCTCATGAAATACGGCAAACCGGAGGGCATACCCTTTAAACATTAGTGCTCTTTCGCCTAAAGAAAAGTGAGCTGCTTTGCAGGTTTAAAATTTGCTGCTCCATTAAAGGACCAGTTCCAAACTACATTGAGTATCTGATAGAAGGAAAACTACCAGCCGTTTTCCCAGAAAACTGCACGTGCATACAATGTTCATGTTAGGTTGGGACTGTGACTAAGTTAGAGTGCAGGTCTGAGGCCTCCCTTTGAAGGGAGAAGTGTTGGGCCTGCTTGAGATAAGACTGTATAAATCAAAGCTGTTCTTTTAGTGAACTTCGTATTGGAGGCAGGCTTCACACAAAGCTCACTGCAGAGCCTCATTTGGGACTGAACTATACTTGGTGTCTTTAATAACACTTTCTATCCCCTAGAATCTGAAGACAAGGATCTGAAATATATCAGCCCAAAGTTGTGAGTGTAATTAAATGGATAAGTTGGCTATTAGGTAGCTTAGAATTTAGGGTGAGGAATTGTTTGTAAATAGCTATCTTTGAAACTACAACCCTTAAGCATTTTTTTAGTAAATTTTATGTTTTGTAGTTTTCTTATACGTGCATTATGTAAACTCTGAGCTTCTTGAAGAAGGGAGCTTACGTTTCATCGTTGTAATTCCAATAATTCTATATGCTAAGAAACCTTGGCATATGATACTTGCCCATGAAATATGTATAAAATAGAGGGATAAACAAACCCTTAATTTTTCTTTAATAAGCTTATGGTTTAGGTGGTAGGGTGTGGGTTTTACAGAGGTTCAACAATTTCGTATGTTTTAAGGGTTATGCAGACTTGAAACATATCCAGGCCTTCTGCATCCGAGGACTTCAGTGGTGCGCTGTGTTACAAAAACCAAACCACTACTTTCAGGTAGATTCTGCCCGATAGCAGCCCTATAGGACAGAGTACGATTGCCCTGTAGGGTCTGTAAGGCTGTAAATCTATTTGGAAGAGGACTGCCTGATCTTTCTGCTGTAGACCATCTGGTGATCAAACCACCATTCTTTTGGTTAGTGGCCAAGAGCCTTAACCAAAGACTGTGTATATTTAAGCAGCAACGTACCAAAGGAGAGTTCTTGCCTTTATTTTATTTTTCCTAACAAGGCTTCAGAAGCTCTCTCTATAGCCTTAGTCTTCTTAACCCTTGCTCCAGTCTCATAGCTCGAGTTAAATCCACCTTTTATGCTTTCATTTCTTTTCAAAATAATTTTGTGTATTAGAATTTAAAGCAGCAGCAGTGTTGTAGACAGGACTCAATAGGGAGTCTAGAAGACCAGGTTTCCATTCCAGTTCTGTGGTCCAACTCTAGCCCCATCAAGGACTCGAGTACTGTAACCAGGGTGAATTTGAGCAGAAGTTGATAATAGCAGATAAAGATAAGTAATGGGCATACGAGATCTTTGTTGTTGTTGTTGTTGTTTTATCATTTTATTAGGCTCGTACAACTCTTATCACAATCCATACATAAATCAATTGTGTAAAGCACGTTTGTACATTCATTGCCCTCCTCATTCTCAAAACATTTGCTCTCCACCTAAGCTCCTGGCATCAGCTCCTCATTTTTCCCCTCCCTCATGAACCCTTGATAATTTATAAATTATTATTTTGTCATATCTTGCCCTGTCCGCCGCTCCCTTCACCCACTTTTCGGTTGTCCGGCCCCCGGGGAGGAGGTCACATGTAGATCCTTGTAATCGGTTCCCCATTTCCAACCCATCCTCCCACTACCTTCCCAGTATTGCCAATCACACCACTGGTCCTGAAGGGATCATCTGCCCTGGAATCCCTGTGTTTCCAGTTCCTATCTGTACTAGTGTCCATCCTCTGGTCTAGCCAGATTTGTAAGGTAGAATTGGGATTATGATAGTGGGGGAGGAGGAAGCATTTAGGACTAAAGGAAAGTTGTATGTTTCATCGTTGCTACATCGTACCCAGGGCATGCAGTATCTTAATGAAGCAATTTTTAGGAATTTACTTAGCCAAAGGAAATAAATGGCCCTTAAGGTGAGCAAGTTAAGCTATAATTATAAGGCTCATTTGGTTTATTATACCTTAAATCAAGTAGCACTCCCTAAAAAATAAGCACACTTACACATCCATGGACAATGTATGCCTTTGCTCTTGCACTCTTCAGCACGTGGTAAACAAAGGACTTGTCCACATTCATAGCACATAGAGGCCAAGAACGAATCTAACGATGTAGCTCTACGGTTTTAATGTCAGAGCTGTCTTATTAAACTATTAACAGAAACTTATTTCACTGAAACTTACTATCTTCCCAATAGACGCATAGAGATTTTTATCCTTTTAATTTTTTCCCCCTTCATGTTCATGTATTCTCCAAAAGAAGCCTGAAGAAACATCCACATTGAGATAAAGTTATCAGGTCATTTATTCATCCTACCGAAGTTTGACTAGAATGTGCCCGGCCCTGTGCTGTATGTAAGAGGATGCCAAATGATACTCACTGCCTTCGAGTCCATTTTGAGTCATGCTGACCCGACAGAGCAGGTTGGAACTGCTACTGTGCATTCCCAAGCTTGTAATTTTTTACTAGATTAGAAAGCCTCATCTTTCTCCCAAGGAGTGGTTGATTGTTTCAAACTTCTGACATCAAAGTTAGCAGTCCAACGAGTAGACACTGTGTCACCAGGGCTCCTTATAGGCAGGTACAGTGGTGGGCTAAAAAAATGATCATGTTGGTTCTCCTTGAATTTCCAGGTTGGTCATTTTAATATCCCAGGTAGCATTCCCCTCAGACAAAAGCTATTCACCAAATGTTAAATACATGGTATTCTCACTGATTGTGGGGAATTGTGCACAGGTGAGACTTGGGGCTCTATAAGAGCAGCACTGGGCTGGCAGTCCTAAAACATCATCATCAGACCATCAGCCGTGTGTTCACCTCGTGCAAAGTTACTTTTTCTAAGTGAGTTCTATTGAGAAAATGCAATGTGGTGTCTATTTGATGTGTGTTCCCTTTCGCAGCAAATGCCACAAGTACACGCATGCTGGGAAGCTGACTCCTATTTGTGAACATTAAAACTTATGTGTGAATGCAAAGAAAATCCAATTTGGGGGCGGGGGGGGGGTGCGTTTAACCAATGCAGACTGGAAGGGAAAAAAAAACTTGTCTGACAGAGTTAATGTTTTATCAGATCCTCAGTAGACGAGTGTTTTCCTTTAATACAAATTTAAGGGTTTATTTTTAAGATGAAGAAGATCTATAAAATGTACATAACCAGAACCATAAAATGTCAGTTTAGTTAGGTTTGAATGATTACTTTCCATATTCCTCATGTGTGCTAGGTAGTCCTTGGTAATATTACTTTAAATGTATTTAGCCTTCAAAATGCCCGCAGTCTACCTACAAGTATAGCCTACCTGTAAATGGATGACAAGGTCACTCACAGAGAAATGTTCTGAAATGTGATAGGGGCACAAGCAAGGGTCTGGAGTTCTGAACAAAGGAGAGAGCTCTGGAATGGGTTTCGCCAATGAGCAGGCAGGAAAGAATGGTGTTGCTGATCCTGAAAGCACCCTCGGGGACCAGGCACTCCTTCCCTGTCGCCCCTGGTCACCGTGCTGCTGCAGGCTGCGCCTGCATTGCCGCCCTTACCCCGCACTGGAATCTAGTCAATGCACCTGTTGGGAGGGAAATGGAAAATAATGAGATTGAGGGGCAGTTCGTGGTGTCCCGTCAAAGGTAGCCATGTAAGCAGAGGTCGGGCATCATGAAAGTCAGTGGCATATTCTGAGGAAAGCGAAGAAACTGATTTGAAGCTAAAGATATGTGCGAGGAATAATTGGAAGTAGGGCTAAGGCAGTGGTTCGCAACCTTCCCAAGGCTGCGACCCTTTCATACAGTTCCTCATGTTGCGGTGACCCCCCAACCATAAAGTTATTTTCGTTGCTACTTCATCACTGTCCTTATGCGATGAATTGGGCGACCCCTGTGAAAGGGTCGTTTGACCCCCCAAAGGGGTCGAGACCCACCGGTTGAGAGCCACTGGACTAAGTAAGGGGTGGGCAATAGGCTGAAGTCAGAGTGCGAAGAGCTGAAGTCAGAGTGCGAAGAGCCGTGCTCGAGACTCTGAGTCTCAGCCTGTAAGCACTGCAGAGCCTTCAGAAACACGCCGTAAGGAAAGTAATCTCAGGAGATAACTCAGGCAACGGTGAGTTTGTAACTTGGAAAATAAATGGGGAGAACTTATTGTCAAAATACAAGTGAACATTGAGAGTCTGAACCAAGACAACTGGAATTGGATAGGAAAATAATAAAATAGATCAATGAAAATTGTGTGTTGTGTATCCGAGTTCATGAACAAGGTAAAGGAGCAGGCTTTGGAGTGAGAACATGGACCCCAAGTTTTGACGACTGGGCTCACGTTTGGACAGGTTGAGGCCTAGGTGAGATATCTGGGCAGATCCGCCATCAACATCTGGAATAATGCCTAGCCAGTAAATTAGTGTACTAAAGAGAGTGTACATCAAGAAAGTAAGAGTTTTGGGGAACAGATATTTAAGAAGATGTGGAGGAAAACATTTTTAAAGTAGGGCCCGGTGAGTGAATGATCTAAAGCTAGCGGGATTTCCAGAAAGTTGAAAGTCTGAGGAAAGGCTGTTGAGACTTAATTATTAGAAATCTTCAGGGGCAAAACAATTCCGGATAACATAGAAATTGAAAACAAGTATTTCAGCTTTGTTTTGGTGTGGGGTTTTGTGGAGGGCAATAAGCACTGATTAGGACTTCCAACCCTGTAACCAAATTGTTGGAAAGACTTTTGTACTGGATTAGTCTAAACTAAGAAAGGAGTCGAGGAAGTAAGATGAATATGCTGAACAAGGGAGAGGTATGGCTGGCACTGTTTTATATGTTAGCAATACAGCAGTAAATAAATGGCATCGTTCCCAACGCGGGGCTTTTATTTGGTGCCTGGAATAGGCAGGGCCAGGAGCGCTGGCAGAAGGCAAGAAGATCCCTGAGGTGGCTGTGATGGGGCGCTGGGCCAGCCTCACATTTGAGGGGTCACTGGGCACAGGCCACACTGAAATGGGACCACCCATGACAAAAATGAAACCAAGAGTGGGATTCTTTTTATGCAGAGATGATTTCCTATTTATTGATTAATCCTTCTATTATTTTTCTTAGGCACTGTCAGGAGATTTCTAGAGATTCATGGGGAGACCATTGAAAAAGTAGTATTTGCTGTCTCTGAACTTGAAGAGGTATTTTACTGATTAAGTTGCATTGTTTAAATCCTTTTTTTATGTCTTTGTTGTATCATTTATTTACTGGATTGTTGATGAGATTCTCTTGGACAATAAGGTACTTACAGTGTATCAATGGAGATTGACAATATAGACAAATTAGGATAATTGTGATAAGTGCATTGATGGAGATACAGGAAGGATGGAAACACTCCAGCCAGTCATGGTGTTAGGAAATGCTTCCTTAAGGAAGTGATAGGTACGTTGAATTCATTCTGGAAGATTTGTCAAGGTGACAAGAGGCAAGTCAATCCAGGCATGTAAGTAAGGAATAGGAAAGGGTTGAGCATGTTTCTTTTGCATATAATTTGAATCTGAAAGTAGCAAAAATAAGTGCTAGTCAGGGACAATATTATGTAAAAACTTTGTGTCTCACTGCAGAAGAGTCTTAAGCAAACAAATGCTGTGACTTCGTTTGTATCTGAGGTGTATGGAGGAAAGCTGGTAGCAAGAACAAAAGATTACATGTGGTTGCAATACTGCAAATGAGAAATGAAGATTGAACTCAGGCAGTGGGGCAGTTAAAATTGAAAAGCTATTTAGAAAATAAATTTAGCTAGAGTTGGGGGTTGCTAGACTATGTAGGGGGAAAGACGGGAGTCAGGGATCAGTCTTAGATTTGTAGCTTGAATAAGAGAAAAGTGATGCTGCTAATGACATCACAAGTAGAAGGGGAAAGGTTTTGGGAAGAGGAGCAGAGGGGATGAAAACAAGTTCTTTTCTGCATGTGTTGAGTCTTAAGGTCAGTGGAACATCAAGGGCAGATGATTAGCAGGCCCTTATTTATACCAGTTTGAACTGAAGAGTAAGGTCTAGAGTAGAGAGTGGACCCTTGTCATGGACTAGGACACCAAGAACTGGTAAAAAAAATCACAAAGGTGATGAAAAATTAAACACGCAACCAATGGATCCAGATGGCGTGTTAGGGACTAAGGGGGTGGCTTCATAGCTGAATCGTTCCAGTTTGTCATAAGTATGATAAAGACAGGCGATAGAGACAGGACTAGCAGGACTTGTGAATTCCAGGCAACATTGTACATGACTGGCTACCAGTATACTGATCTCTCTAGCCAAGGCTCAGGTGAAGTTTTAATTTGTGTTGGGGGCTGTCATACACTGTCTGAAGCAGCCCAAGCTCCACTATTGCTCCCTCATGGTTTTTCACAAAATATCTTACTTTCCTGACACAGGCTACCTACCAAAGGCTGCTACCTCTGTATTTCCCAAGGTCGTTGGAGGAGGAGAGCCAGTCATTGCCATACCTTCCTGCGGATATTGGAAATTCAGAAGGGGAGCCTGTAGTACCTGAACGGCAGATTAGGATAAGTGAAAAGCCTGGTGCCCCCGAGGGTGCGTTTTCCTTTTCCTGATGTCCCTCTTGAGAAAACAAAGAGACTGTGCACTTCAGGCACCAAAGAAATAGGCATCCCAGCTTGACCTTTGGGGAGTTCTCCGTGGGTGCGGTGTTACTAGGATCAGCGCCAATTCAGAAGTTTCAGAGTCCTATTGTTTCTGTTACTGTTGTTTTTTACAGGCGAGGACGTGTATACACACGTCCTCATAAATGCTGTGCTAAATTTGTGGGAGGCAACAGTCAGGGATGGTAGAACAAAACCCTCCCCTCACGGAGCACATAGTTTGGTGCAGGAGGCTGTCAGGACAATAGTTGAGTACCTTTCCATCTGAAATTTTAGACATCAGCAGTGACCTTGGAAAGCCATGTTTGTTGTTGTTAAGTGCCATCAAGTTGGTTCCGACCCATAGTGACAATATGCACAACAGAGTGAAACACTGCCTGGTCCTGCACCATTCTCACAATTGTGTCCATGTGTGAGCCCGTTGTTGGCAGCCATGGTGTCAATCCATCTTCCTAAAGACCTTCCTCCTCTGCCACCCCTCTACCAAGCACAGTGTCCTTTTCCAGGGATCGATCTCTCCTGACAATATGTCCAAAGTAGGTAAGACAAAGCCTCACCATCCTTGCCTCTAAGGAGCACTCCAGCCATACCTGACATAAAATAGATGGTATTGGTGAAGAATATTTTAAATACCACGGACGGCCAAAAGAATAAACAAATCTGTCTCAGAAGGGACCAGTCCCTGGAGAAGGACATCGTGCTTTGTAAGTAGATAGGCAATGAAAACGAGCAAGGCCCTAGACGAAGTGGATTGACATGGTGGCTACAACAATGGGCTCACGCCTAACAACTGTGCGGATGGTACAGCAGCTTTTAGGGCTTTGTTCTGTTGTGCATAGGGTTGCTGTGAGTTGGAACCTATTTGACAGCCTCTACCAACAGCAGATGGCACAAATAGCTTGCTCTTTAGTGCTAACCTGAGGGTTGGCAATAGGAACCCACCTGGTAGTGCTGTAGAGTTAGAGGCCTGGCCAACTGCTTCCCTTTCCATTAAAATCACAGCCAAGAAAAGCCCCCTGGTTCTACTCTGCATACATGGGGTTGCCATGAGTCGGAATCAGCTGGATGGCAACTAGCAACAATAATAAATATGAAGGCAAGAGAATCATAACTGTTTTGTTTCTTTAACTCACGTATTAGGTCGAGCATGTTAGGATAGCAACCCTCTTGAATCTGTTCTATATAACAGCTTTACTGAGCTCTCATGAGGACCCATTTAAGGTTATGAACCCATTTAATGAGGCATGCCTGACAAGCTTCCATGCTAGGACTTGATGGCGAAATTTAGTAACATAGGGAATTACTGTGAGAGTCCGACTGTGAGTACTACTTTTATAAGTGAACATTACAAACTGTAATGACTTTTTCGTCAGTGATTCACAGACTTCTACAACAGACTTATTCTAAAGGTCAAGCATCAGGAATTACAAATGGTGCCGGATCAGGAAAGGTCTGTGAGCCATGGCTTTGGCTGGGAGGGGCATCATGAATACTCGGGCTCTGCTAGTGGTGTAGACTCTTGGATAAGCTTAGCCATTGGGAAACCTGGCTTGTGCCCACCACTACAGCATATAATTTCTTCTCCATGGAGTCCATCGAATATGAGTAGTGAATAGCAAAGCCAATGTGAAATGGCAATGCTGGACAGTAGAGGGGAGTAGATAGCGCGTTAGCCACACGGTCCCCTTCTATCTGCCGTTCTCAGAGAGTGCTTGATTTGTGTTCCTGTCTCAGGGAAATGTTGTTTCCTCATAGGCATTGGCCCTGGTCTTGTGCCATCACGTGAATTCTGACGCATAGCAATTCTGTGTGGCGGAGCAGAACTGCCCCAGAAGACTTCTTTGGCTCTGAATTTCTACAGGAGCAGGTCACCAGCTCCTCTCTCAAACAGAGCACCAACTGGGGTCTCTCACATCAGCTGTGTGGTTTGCGGCCAGCAATTACTCAGTGGGGCACCAGGACTCCTTAGCTATAGACTTTAATGCTCATCGTTTCAACAGTATGCTAACTAATCTCTTACAGTATGTGTCATGGCCAGGGATGGTGGCGGTGGGGTATGTTTTACCTAGGAAAGGAAAGAGCATCATCCCACAGGACTGGTTTCTGATAGCTAAACTCAAAATAACCGTATAGTTAGGTCAGAATATTAACTCACTAGTTTATAGTACAAACTATAACTCATATGAGCTGGAATTGTTAAGTTAGCATGACCGGTGTAGCAGTACCCAGGAAACTGAATTATAGTCAGAATGTTTCTTAAGGACAATGGATTATAACCTGCTATCCTGGTCCATCCATCTTACAGCCAAAAGGGCCGGAGTGTGTGTATGTGACTCAGTCAAGCACTGCTGGGTCAAAGCTCTCAGACGTTTATTACGTGTGCTTTTATTAGAAGCTGTGCCACAATCCATCTCTAAACCCAAGTATAGATAACTCCTCTGCCTTTTTGTTACGGTCATAGTCCACTCCTAAGGTTACACCTAGTTCACCTTGATTTATTCTTGTACTCCTAAATTTTATATCACATTCTGCAAATGCAAGGAGCCCTGCTGGGCTACACTTTGGCTTACCAACAACCACATGATTAGTACTTTGAAACCACCAGCTGTTTCACAAGAGAAAGAGGAGGCTGTCTGCTCCCATGGAGATTCACAGCCTCAGAAATTCACAGGGGCAGTTCTGCCCTGTCCTATAGAGCCACTAGGAGTCAGAATCCACTCCCTGCCAATAAATTTCGTGGGTCAGTGCTTTGAGTCACTTCACAGTCACCCCGCTGCAGCATTCACAGTCTAAACGCATTTCCTATTTCTCAAGAACTCTGTAGATAATAGCCTTTGTATTGTTGCAGATGACCAGGAAGAAGAGGAAGGCTTGGGAGTTGACCTCTCTTTCATTGGCTCTCATGCATTTGCTCGAATGGAAGGAGATATTGATAAGCAAAGAAGATTGATCCTCCAGGGACAGTTATCAGAGGCAGCCCTACAGAAGCAGCATCAAAGAAAGTAAGGCGAACTTTTTTGGACTGATGCCTACAAAAAGGTTTGAGAAGCAGCAAGGGACAAGGAACCTTACATCTGCTAAAGGCAGCTGCCTATGTATATGTGTTCTCATTTTTGCCTCATGACAGTTCTGTGAGAATATTGTCCAGGTTAGCAGATACAGAAATGTAAAGTCATTTCTGTGGTGGTGACAGTTAAACTATATGTCGCAGCCAGTATTCGGATGGCTGTCTGAGCACAGAAGTCCTTCTCTGTCGTACTGTGGGGCCTGCATGTAAGATGTTCATCTCACACACAAACTGGGCCCAGGAAGGACAAGGGAAAGACAGAGAAACAAAATGTCTACTTCACTATGTTTATCATTAAAGTATAATTTACATTGTGTGGAATTTGCAAGAGCTTGATTTCTCCCTCAGTCACCCCAGTGTCTTCCCTCATTTGGCCCATTCCATTTCTTCCCAATGTTTTCTTAGATAAGGAGATTTATCTCTGTCTCTAGGGAAGCTTATGCAAGTATCAAACAGTCCTTGTAAAGTCAGATTCTTTTTAAAGGCAATAATAGTAATAATAAACTACAAATGCCTTATATTTTATAGGGTTAGTTGAGCTAGAAATCTCGGCTGTGATGAGCATGGACTATGATGATATAATGAGCATACTCAACGTCTGATATTTGGAAACTGTTAAAATGGGTGACTGCTTTTTTTCTGTAGGCCTGAGGAATTCATGACTGCCTTTGCCACCTAGTTTTGATCCATGCTATTCTTTTGACTAAAATACACTCACTCTTCAATGTTTTCCAATCTTCCAATTTTTAGCTCCGAAACTTTGTCTCCTAAATCTGAAAAAAGATCGCCCCTGGCACTTGCCCAAAGTGTTTTGAAGCATAGATAACCCTATAGCGCAATGTCATCTGCTTGTCAGTTTCATCTGTCGTGTAGGAGTTGAAGAGTCCCTTATAAAATTAAAAGAGTCCCTTATAAAATTAAAATACTGGGCCCAAAGTTCATAATCTTCTCTTTAAAGTAAAATAAATTAGCCATTAGAGGGCACCAATGAACAGCTTTTCCAAAAGCTCACTGTCACAATCAGATAGTTTCAGTGGTTTCTAGCCTTGGCTGTGTGTCAGACTCATTTGGTTTAAAAAAGGAAAGAAAAAAAAAATTGAATACATTGCCCAGGCAGCCTCTCAAATGAGTAGGGTGGGACCTGCACATGTATATGTATTTAATGCTTTCCTATATCTTGTTCAAGTGCTGCTAGACTTGGACGCCCCTTTTGAACTAGACACTGGTTCTCAAACTTTCTGGCTTTCCAACAACTTTGCGCTCTGAGAAATTATTGAAGACCTCAATGAGTTTTAGGTTACATGAGTTATATCTGTCAATAGTTGCCATCTTCGGATTTATTATTTAATATATTGAATATTGACAGGGATAAACCCACTGGTGAAAATAATCATTTTTTAAAAAGTATTAGTGAAAAGAATGGCACAGTTTTACCTCTTTGCGAGTCTTGCAAATCTTTTAATGTTCAGCTTAATAGAAGACAGCTGAGTTTGCATCTCTGCATTCAATCTGTTGCAATAAGTTGTTTTGGTTGAAATATCTAAAGAAAATCTGGTCTCAGCTAAACAGTTGGAAAGAGGAAGAATATTTTAATTGCTCTTTCAAATAATTGAGAGGATATTCTTCTTTGATACTAAACCAGAACTCATTAAATGGTAGTTTCTTAAATTTTGGTTGCAATGTGGAATATAAAGCCACATCTGTGAATTTTTGTACTCTCATATTAAAGTCCACTGATCTGTTTAGTACTTTGAATAGCTCTTTTAACCCTTAATGATGCTATAACATAATGCATTGATTATTTTGAAATAAAGTTCACTGAAGTGTTCCGATATTCCAAATACTAACACAGTATCAAAATATTTGTTACTGTTACCACCTCATTCCTCAGAGGAGTCTTTTATGTATAAGGAATTGTCAAGCTATTAAGCTGAACATTAAAAGATTTGCAAGACTCGCAAAGAGGTAAAACTGTGCCATCCTTTTCACTAAAACTGATAATGGATACAGATTTCCAAAATCTGTGTGCGCGTATGGTTTAAGTTCAAGTTTTATCATAGAAAGTAAATACAGTGCTTTTTGACTATCACTGCAAATGTCAACATTATAAAAAGGCATAGTGTGGAAATCACTTTGACGTCATAGACTCCCTGAGTGGGCTCAGAACTTTTCTGGGACCTGTGGATCCCACCACGAAAACCACTGGTTGGAAAGAGTGTGGGGGAGGCCATCTGATACAGCTCCCTGAAAGTAGTTCGTAAGCGTTAGGGTCACCAGCTCGCTGGTTAAGCTCACACCAAGCCAGTTGAACTAGAGCTTCTTTGCGAAGAGCTTGGAAGGCTTCTTTCTACAGTGCTTTAGATGACTGTTTTAGGCCTTCAGTCACTGATCTAGGCCAACCGTTGCACTTTACAATGAGTCCGTTGGTCCCAGAGAGTGTTTGCCAAGTCATTGCTAACTGAGGAAGAGTCTTCAACGTGGCTAGTGCAGCACGTCTCTCTCTCACACCATCTTCAGTTACACAAACAACTATGGAGCAATTTGGGCAAAGCAACAAATTTGTTGTATTTACATGCCAAAAACTGCATTGTCATTAACTTCTCAAACCAGTCACTCGGTGGCTGTCTGTCTCTCTCATGCGTTCACACTCATGCTTGCCTTCATATCTTTCTCACATCTAGGCTGGATGTGTATTTCACTTAATAATGACAAGCTCAAGTGAATATTAACATGATTCTGTACTTGTTGGAAAGGAGCCCTACCAAAAGGCTAGGTGCTAGGACGGCAAATGAGTGTAGTTTGTGGAGGATTGTCCTTTGTGTGGGTGGAGGGCTTCTTGTTAAGACTCAGATTTGTTACACATTTGACAGTGTGCATTCAGTTCAGGAAACACTGCACCCCTCTTCTGTATAAGGTGACATTTTAGGTAGATGTAAGAAATAAATAAGGTAGTTCCTGTCATCTGAACAGGAGCTGTGGTGCCATAGTGGTTATGCATTGAACTGCTAACTGCAGGGTTCAAAACCACCAGCTGATCGGTGGCTGAAAGATAGGGCTGTCTGCTACAGTCAAGAGTCCCGACCTCAGAAACTCACAGGCAGTTTGCCCCTGGCCTGTAGGGTAGCTGTGAGTGGGCATGGACTCTGTGGTCTGAAACCAGGATTGAGCAACACTGGCTTCAGGTGTCAGGTGTGCTGCATGTTGAGGCAGGTGTCCTGAATAACAGTCCATTGTAGACATCGGTTTGACACATAGTTGCAGGCTAGGAGAAGAGCACAGCCTGAAACCTGAATCAGTAAAAACAAAAAGGTGGGGGGGCTGGGCTTGCCACCTCTGCCACTCAGTTCCCTTGGATGATAAACCACATCTGAATTGAAAGGTTTTTTTCTCCCATTTACCTCCTTCCCAGTGTCGGTGACCATGAAGATGAAGGTGTACTCTTCGAGCTATAAACGAATCCAGAGTGATGTTGTGCTTAGATGCTGTTGAGTCAGTTACAGCTCATAGCGACCCTATGTACAAAGGAGCTCAGTGCTCGCTGGTCCTGCACCATCCTCAGAATTAGTCCACTTTTGCAGCCACTGTGTCTTTCTCATTGGTGGGTGTTTTAGTCCAGGTTCACTAGAGAAACAAGTTCATAGAACATTCATATATGTACAAAAAGAGCTTTATATAAAAGAGCAATTGTTTATTGAGAAAACATCCCAGCCCAGTCCAGATCAAGTCTGTATGTCTTCAGTCTGATAGTAGCCCATATACCTGCTAGCAGTCCATAAATTCCTCTTCAAACTCACGCAAAACATGCAATGGCGCTGAATGCAGGAAGATCACAGGCCAGTGGGTGTAAAGTCTTGTGGATCCAGTGGTGGTAGAAGCATCTCAGTGCTGGTGTGGATCTCCACATGGCTCCTCCAGCTCCAGGGCTCTGGCTCCATCAGCATAGCTTCATCTGGTTGTCAACAGGAATGTCTCCCAAGAAGGAAGACCGGAGTTCCCAGAATCCTCAGGAGAAGGCCATGCCCACACAGAGGCCTTATTGGCTATGACCTGATTGATAGGCTAGACTCTACTCCTTCGCTCAAGTTGATAGGGGATTATGTAACTGCCACAGTGGGTCTTCCTCTTTTTCACTGCCCCTCTACCAAGCATGATGTCCCTTTCCAGGGACATCACCCCTGAGAAGGAGTCCTGGAGTTGTGATGGTTATGCATTGGGCTATGACTCACATGTTCGGCAGTTCAAAACCACCAGCCGCTCAGCTGGAGAAAGACTGGGCTTTCTACTCCCGTAAACAATTTTAGTCTCAGAAACCCGCTGGGGTTCTCTGAATCTGTGTTGACTCAGTGGCTGTGAGTTTTTGAAGTCACTTCCGTTAGCATCCAAAGTACTCAGTGGCTGTGAGTTTTTGAAGTCACTTCCGTTAGTATCCAAAGTACTAAAATGGAATCTTACCAGCCTCACTTCTAAGGAGTGTTATAGCTGTGCTTCTTCCGAGACAGATTTGGCTGGTCTTCTGGCCGTCCAGGGTACTTTGACTACTCGTTGCCAGCTCCATAATTGAAAATGCATTGACTCTTTTACTGTCTTCCTTATCTGTTCGACTTTCACCTACAGGTGAACCTATTGAAAATAGTGTGGCACTGCAGTCCTCAAACTGACACCTTGCTCTTGACCACTTTAAAGAGGCCTTGTGCAGAGATTTGTCCAAGACCTAATGTATTTGATTCGCTACTTCCAAAGTTGAAAAAAATATATTTAAATGTATGGAAGCTTTTTTCACAGTGTAATGTATGGCAATTTGAATGTTCAGAGAGCACTATGATACAGTAGAAAAAATATTGACCTTTCAAGAAATCTGGAGATCTGAGTATCTCCTCAAAGTCAGCCCTTACTATTAAGCTGGATTATCTTTTATAAGCCATTTCCCCTCTTTGAGAGCGCTAACATTTTTCCTAGATTTTAGCATCCTCTTAGCCAAAGCCAAATGCAATCATATGATCTCATATGGGCTGTTCAGTACAACCAGTATGATTAACCAGTCATTAACTATGCCTCGCATTCCCAAATAAAATTACCTGGCTCCTCTTTGGCCCCTATCACCATGTACAATGCCTAATTTTTCTCAGGTCTAGTTCCTTGAGGGAGTAACTGTGTGAGTCTATTACTGTAGTGTTCTCAGTACCTGTCATGGAACGAGCACGCAGTACATGTTGATGAATGAGTGCATGGACCATCTTTTTTAGGGACTTGCCATTTCCATAGTCTCTGCATTTTTTAGCAAAAGAAAATAATAGTGTTCAAAATAGATGCTACTGTGAATACTGGGTATTTTTTCTTAATCGTTTTATTAGGGGCTCATACGACTCATCACAATCCATACATACATCAATTGTGTAAAGCACATTTGTACATTCATTGCCCTCGTCATTCTCAAAACATTTGCTCTTCACTTAAGCCCCCGGCATCAGGTCCTCGTTTTTTTTCCCCTCCCTTCCTGTACCCCCCTCCCTCATGAGAATACTGGGTATTTTAACCATTTATCATTGTAGCCTTCATTTTTTTGTGGCGGTTTTTTGGTATTTTAAATAATACACCACAGGTAACCTTTTTTCCCAATAAGTCACCAACCCGGTTTATTTCCTCACCGACATAGCTGGTTGTAATGTAATAACCTCTTACTCATGAGTAAGAAACATCACTTTCAGGTGCAGGGAAAGGCATTCTAAACAGGTCCTGTTTGTCAATTTAATTAACAGAGGTTTGTTATAATAACTATGTCCTTTATTTCCCTAGTTATAATCGTTGGTTATGCCAAGCAAGATCTGAGGATCTGTCTGATATTGCTTCTCTAAAAGCTTTATACCAAACAGGTGAGCCTAAGGATGCTTTGACTTATGACATTACTAATTAAGGACCCTGCCCAGCATGCTACTTCCGACATCTTTCTCGGATTTCTTCCAGGCTATCTATGAATAACATGCTTTTGTACTAATGCAGGTATGCTTTCCCCATCATTAAAATGTAAAAACAACACTAAGTTATCTAGTGTTGCTATAGCAGAAATTTCACAAGTGGATAACATTAACAAATTTATTTTCTCACCGTTTAAGAAGCTATAAGTGTGAGTTCAGGGTATAAGCTCTAAGCGAAGGGTCTCTCTCTGCCAGCTCTGGAGCAAAGGCCTTGTCCCTGAGCTGCTTCCTTGGGTGATTTTCATGAGGCTTGATATTCCTCTTCTCCATCTCTGCTTCTCTTGCTTGCTTGTTTAATCTCTTTCGTATCACAAAAGAGATTAGCTCAAGACATACCCTGTGCTAATCTGGTCTCCTTAACAGTGCAATGACAGTCCCCTCCCACATAGGTTTATATCCACAGGCATAAAGATCAGGATTTAACAGCACACGTTTGGAGGGGACATAATTCACTCCATACATCACATACTTTTGCCCCCCCCCCAAGTTTTTGTCCTTGCCACATGCCGAACATATTTATCTCTCATCACAGTGTACCCCAAAAGTCTTTATCAACTCCAAATAGCATCTTCTAAAGCATCTAAATCAAATGGGGATGGGACTTTATAGCCCTGGGACAAAATTATCTTAGTCTGTAAAATCTAGATTACAAGTTACCTGTTTCCAAAATACAACGATGGGATAGGCACAAGGTAGTCATTTCCTTACAAGTGGGAGAAATTGGAAGGGAATAACAGATAATTGGCACCAAGCAAGCCTCAAACCCAGCAGAACCAATTCCATTAGCTCTCCATTCTTGAAAATAATCCTCTTTTTTATAAGACCTTCTAGGCAAAATGACCCTTCTCTGCAGATTCTGGGTATTAACCACACCCTCTGGGTTCTGGTAGAGATTCCTGAGGCCTGGGCTTCAACTCTTCCAAGCCTTCTGGGTGAGCCAAGTGTGCTCTCTTGGCTTTAAGCAGCCCCGTTTTTTCAGTCCATCTGAGGTGTGATCACACCCCGTGGTTCTGATAAGCCCCATTCTTCTGCCCAATGGGAATCGCAGCCCCTGCCCCCCTCGGTTCCGGGTAATGGCATATCCCCCAGCACACCTTAGCGGCTGCGCCTCACTTCAAAATCGAGCTCGGGAAGGATCTGGCTCTGAAGCCAGAGAGACTCCGCTCCCTTCTATCAGCTGTGCTGGTTTCCAGGCTGCTCCAGAGAGGGTCCTTTTCTTTGCTTTGAGGACATCAGATGCCAGTCCTTTGAATTGCTTCTTGTCTGTCAGATATCAAGAGGGAGACAGCCTTTCTTTGCCCCATTCAGTCTAAGCTAATGGGTTTTCTGCTGTGATAGTTGGTTAGTGATCCGTCACTGGCTTAATGTTTAACAAGTGTGGGTAGCCGTGTACTTGGTAAGCATTGTAGGAGGTATGTCCTTAGTTTGTACAGCACAGTTTTCAAACCTTTAAATTCTGTTTGCGTTTTCACCATTCATATTTTAAGGCCATCTTCTGCTCACATTTTATGCTAAGCATCAAGGAGAAACCCATTGCCGCTTCAAGGTCTTACTTAGAAATTATAGTTGTCAGATATCCAGGTACAACTTGGTTACAAGTTCTACCTTCCCCTAGACAAGTTCTTCACTGCATAAAAAGTATCACCCTTCCTCCGTTGCTCCAATCATGTAGTCATCTTTTTTATTTCACGAGGGACCCATTCGTCATCCACATTTCTAGCCAACGTTCTATTGCTACCCTTTCTCTGTTCTCTAAGTTGGTAGAGACTTTTTCGCCCTCCTTTCTTCCTTCTGAGCCCTCCCAAGAATTGCTTGTGATGTCTATAAGGCTACCAGCCATCTCCTTGGGGCAGGCGAGGCTTTCACTCTTGTCGTTAGGTCTGTTAAGTCAGTCTGGATGCATAGAGAACCTGTTTACAACAGAATAAGGCACCCCGTGGTCCTGCACCATCTTCACAGGTGCCACGTTGGAGCCTCTGTGTCAGTCCGTCTTACGGAGGACCTTCTTTTTCACTGCCCCTCAACTTTACCAAGCATGATGTCGTTCTGACATGAGACGAAGTCTCACCAACCTTGCCTCTGAGGAGCATCCTGGTTGTACTTATTCCAAGTCAGGTTTGTTTGTTCGCTTGGCAGCCCGTGGTATTTTCGATATTCTTTACCAGCACCATAATTTAAATGCATTCTTCTTCAGTTATCCTTATTCAGTGCCCACCTTTCACATGTATATGAGGAGATTGAAAATGCTTGTGTCCGAAGCACCTTAGTCCTAAAAGTAAGATTCTTGTTTTTCAACACTTTAAAAAGGTCTCGTGCAGCAGATTTACTCAGTGCAGTGTGTCCTTTGATCTCCTGACTGCTGTTCCCATGAGCACTGTGCGTCCAAGCAAGGGGTGTCCTTGGCAACTTCAGTCGTTTCTCTGATTGTCAGGATGTTACCTATTAGTCCAATTGTGGGGATTTTTGTTTTTTTACGTTGAGTTGTAATCCGTACTGAAGGCTGCTATCCTTCATCTTCAACAAGTGCTTCAAGTCCTCCTGACTTTGAGCAAGCAAGGCTGTGTCGTCTGAGTATGACAGGTTGTTCGTCTCCTTCCAGTCCCGATGTTGCATTCTTCCTCATGTAGTCCAGCTTCTCTGATGATGTGCTCAGCGTGCAGATTGAATAAGTGTGGTGAGAGGATGCAACCCTGATGCACATCTTTCCTGATTTTAAACCATGCCGTCTTCCCTTGTTCTGTTCACACAGCTGCCTTTTGATCCGTGTACAGTTGCCATGGGAGCACAATGAATTGTTTTGGAATTCCCATTCTACTTAGGGCTGTCCATAGTTTGTTATGATCCACTTTCACTGTTAAGACACATAAAAATTCTAGTCTCTACCTATTACCCAATTCCCAAACCACTTTGCAGCATTCTAGGTATTTGTGAGAGCATCTCAGAACCAAATTCTGTCTAGATTACCTGGTGCTGTTATAACAGAATCCAAGTAGGTGACTGGTCTCTGAGTTTCAATTCCTGGTTGACCTTCAAGTGGATTGGTATTTCTCTTCCTCCATCTCTGCTTTTCTGGTTTGCTTGTTTAGTCTCTTTTATATCTCAAAAGAGATTAACTCCAAATACACACTACACTAATCCTGTCTCATTAACAAAAGACAGTCCATTCCTAAGTAGGATTATAAAACCAAATTTTAGGTACCATGGTAGTGTTGTGGGTTAGGCATTGAACTGTTAACCACAAGGTCAGTAGTAGAAACCCACTAGCCACCCCAACAAAGAGAAAGAAGAGGCTGTTTGCTCCTGTAAAACTTTGCAGTCTCAGAAACCCCAAGTTGCAGATCCACTCTGTCCTGTAGGGTCACTATGAGTCTCATCATAACGGGCATCACAGACGTTAGCCTTTCTAACACATGTTGGGAGACATAATTCAATCCAACCAAACATGTAATTTTCATCTAGTATCCTTTTTTTTCAGTCTTTTGGTGGGTAAGGGGATATTGTTCTTTGCTTGCTTACCATCCAAAATTCAAACCTTACATAACTATGTAATGCAGCACTTGAATATTCCAAGCTTTCTACTTCTTTCCCCCATATCTCTCTCGTTCAGGCTGCTGTGCTTGTTCATATTCAGATTCCAGTGCTATTTAGGTTTGTTGTTATTTTTGACCATTAATGTCATTACAAAATGTAGTGAATTTAAACAAGAAACTTTATTTAAAAACTTTCACCTGCACCCTCACCCTGATTTTAAACCTTTTAGAGGGCTTATCTTAAAAGTAAGGGCAGTGATCCAAAACCTCTAAGGTTAAAAACAAAAAAACACTTGACAAATTGAAGCCTCTTCATTTTTCAGTCTTCTCGTTTGTGTTGAATATGTTTGTACGTTAAGAACTCGGGACAAATGCTTTCCTTGAAATAAAGACTCGGTGCTGATTGCATTTCCTCTTTATAGGTGTTGATAACTGTGGCCGCACTGTGATGGTGGTAGTTGGAAGAAACATCCCTGTAACATTAATAGATATGGACAAGGTAAGCCCTAAAAAGGCTTTGTTTACATATAATGTTGGTTGAAAAACAAGTAGACTATAAATTTGGGAAGAGGGTTTAGAGTATGGGACAAGAGAGACGTCTGGGTCTGACAGAGCCGCAGCCAAGGCTCCGTAAGTCAGTGTGCATGGTCTCAGAAAGTCCGGGTTTGGTTTGCGCTCGAGAAGAAACAGAACTTCTGATGGCAGCTGCTTTGTTTCTGTTCTTAGGTAACTGGCAAGTTTAGGATTCAAATCATTCTGTGCTGTAATCAAATTCTGCCTTCCTCAAAAAAATGATAATGTCTTGAGCATCTATCTCAAAAGAAGGAACCAGAGAGATCTAGTTATCCCATTGTGGCATACTTTTACCGTCACTTTTTAGAGGTAAATCACAGAAATGAACCATTAGTAAAAGAAGACTAGTTATACATAGTAAATAAAAATAACATGTTCGGCCTCAGTAGTGGTATTTTTAAAAAGGTGAATTAAAATGAGATCTCCTCTTTTTTTAAACATTTTTTGTTTTGTTTTTAATCGTTTTATTAAGGGCTCATACAACTCTTATTACAATCCATACATACATCAATTGTGTAAAGCACATTTGTACATTCATTACCCTCATCATTCCCAAAGCATTTGCTCTCCACCTAAGCCCCTGGCATCAGCTCCTCATTTTTCCTCTCCCTCATGAACCCTTGATAATTTATAAATTATTTTTTTGTCATATCTTGCCCTGTCCGACGTCTCCTTTCACTCACTTTTCTGTTGTTGTTCCCCAAGGGAGGAGGTTATATGTAGATCCTTGTAATCAGTTCTCCCTTTCCAACCCACCCTCCCTCCACCTTCCCGGTATCGCCACTCACACCTTTGGTCCTGAAGGGATCATCGCCCTGGATTCCCTGTATTTCCAGTTCCTATCTGTACCAGTGTACATCCTCTGGTCTAGCCAGATTTGTAAGGTAGAATTGGGATCATGATAGTTGGTCGGGAGGAAGAATTTAGGAACTAGAGGAAAGTTGTATGTTTCATTGTTGCTACATCGCACCCTGACTGGCTTGTCTCCTCCCCGAGACCCCTCTTAAAGGGGATGTCCAGTGGCCTACTCATGGGTTTGGGTCTCCACTCCTCACTCCCCTTATTCACAATGATATGATTTTTTTGTACTGATGATGCCTGATACCTGATCCCTTCGACACCTCGTGATCACACAGGCTGGTGTGCTGCTTCCATGTGGGCTTTTTTTAACCTTCAAAAATTGTGAAGATTTTTAAATGATCATTGTCATCAAAGATACAGAGAAACTATAAATATGATCCTACTGATTAACCTAGTAATTCTGTTCTGGGAATTTGTAATCTAGAGTGTGGAAGTGGACATTGGCTCCAGAACTGCTCAAATTTGAATCCCCACTCAAGGGACACTTGAGCCCACAGGTTAGCTACATAAACCTTCCTAGAACATCTGTTTTTTTAGAACTGTACAGGAGACTTACTTCAACCGATAATAATTCTATAAGCTTTCAAGTACTATGAAATTAAAATTCACACAATGTTAAAATAAAACACAGTTATGTAAATACAAATGATTTCTTTTGGCTTAGCCCTCAGGTTACTGGTGCTTGGTTAAAAAACCTAAGAATGTGTTCATTCAGTCATATTATTCAGAGGATTATTTGTAGCAAAAGATTACAGACTAAGTTCCTAATAGATACTTATGGTCTGTTTACAAATGAAATGTCTTGTGTCCCTTAAAAATGATGGTTATAGAGTCAAGTATTGTTGAAAAGTGTTCATAAGATAATATCAATAAGAGTAAAGATGGCATATTAAATTGCATATACTCCAACCTTAGTTGTTTTTAAAAACCCACAAGATAAAAACAAGAAGTCAATATTCCAAAATGCATTCTGTATTTTGGGAGCTACTGTATATACTCGAGTACAAGCTGACCCAAATATCAGTCGATGCACCTAATTTTACTATAAAAACTGCATTAAAAATGTACTGAAAAACTCAGTTTACAGTGAACCCTCGCCACTTTGTGCTTCGACTTCCGCGGCTTCACTCTATCGCGGTTTTTGCGTAACAGCGCATGCCCGGTCATTACTGCCACTGATTGGCTCATACTGTACACGCTTGATGCCATAAATAATATAATAAATGATAATTGTAACGTCCAAAATGTTTTACTGTATTTTCCCTTTTTCGTTTAATAAATTGGGTAATACGAGTGTAATGGTGACTAAAGGGTGTTTTTTCATGTCCTCTATGCCCTAACTACGAAAATATTTGATTTACAAATAAGGAATCCTACTTCGCGGAATTTCATTTATCACGGTAGGGTCTAGAACCGATTAACCGCGATAAACGAGGGTTCACTGTATACACAAATATATATGGAATCTATTTTTTAATTCTTAAAAATGGAAACATTTTTAGATGAGAATTGGGGAACTTAAGACCAAAAGGTATCAAAGTTGCCATGGAGCAGGGGTGGGCAATTAGTTAGAAAGAGGACCGAGGAGTAATCTGATATGAGCAGAAATGAGACTCAAAATTCACATCTACACATAGAGAATCCAACAGAGGGAAATTCAGTAAGTGTCTGTGTGTGGTCATTTGCTTTGTGTTCTTAATATTCAGTGTGACATTCATTTCTTCTGCAGTGATATGGTTGATACCAAGAAACATAAATCCGACCATCTCATTTTGATGGGCAATTTCATGGGTTACAGTATCAGGTCCAAACTGGTTAAAACTATGTTTTTTTTAGTTCCCTCCTCTGCCCTTTCTGATAGCATTGGATCATGAAAAGAAACAAAACATCCTCTCTACTATCCAGTCAGTTCTGACTCATGAGGATAATCCATGTTTGTCCAGTCGTGTTATGCCAAGGACTCCCCTGGGGAAGAGTTAGAAAATGGCCTTCATTATAGTCACCCTTCAGTTGTCCCTTCTTAGCTGCTGCTTTGAGTTCGTTACCAGGAAATCTCGAGGTCATACTGGCCCTGCCTCTGTTGTACCTGGCTTGTTTTACTGTTTCTCAGCACTCCATCCCTCCTGCAATGGAACATTTCTCTAACTGATCTGGGTCACAGTAAGTTTCAGTTGTTCAGCGCTCTAAAAATGTTGCCCAGCCTACTGCCCTCCACAGCCTCAACTTGTTCTCAGTTCTGCAGATCACTCCGTTCACTCAGATCTGCATGAACGATCCCAGCAGAAATAAGCCCTCCGAGTGGGTTACCCAAGACCTGCTCCTTTTATAGTAATTGTCAGCTCCTGCAAACCCTGGGATTGTAGCGAAGGAGACTGCAAAGACTGAGTTCAGATAGAAACTTAAAGAATGATTAAACGTCTAGAAATTCTCCTTGTCATGATTTTGTTATCCTGGTACTCAAGAAGAAGCTAAATAGTTAATTCAAGAAGAGTTTCAAATATATGCAGATTTGTTTCAGAGCATGGAGACTGATTTCCTCCCGTCCTTACAGATTGCAGCAGGAGATGAGACTGCAGCAGGTAGGAGAATGAGTGGACACTGGGACGATGCGCTTTCCTAAGAGAGCAGATATTCCCAGGTGTCCGGCAGCGGCGAGACGACAGGGAGCACAGACTAGATTAACCTTCTAGGTGGTTGCCCTTCTTGACCGCTGATGTAGACCGCCAGACCGAATGGTTTTAGTCTTTCCTCCTGTTTTTCCTTAGGCTCTCCTGTATTTCATCCATGTAATGGATCACATCGCTGTGAAGGAATATGTATTAGTGTATTTTCACACACTGACCAGCGAGTACAATCACCTCGACTCCGATTTCCTGAAGAAACTCTATGATGTTGTGGATGTCAAGTTAGTCATTTTTGCAAATTATGAAGGGGGAGGGGTGGGGAATCGTTTCTTTATTTTTAGACAATAGTAGGCATTGTTATCTGTTCTCTGAAAGCATGTTTCACATAACAAAGAAGTTTATTATATACAGATACTTTAAAAAGAGGCCCTCCTTAAGTTAACTCAGATTTATTTTTATTTAAAGCAAATTAAATGTACCTTTTTTCCTCTTCCAAGTGTGTTGGGAAAGGCCTAGCAACATTACCAATATTTGTGTACAAAACAGAAATGGCACTGTGTATTTTATATGGTATGTTTACACTTCTCAAAATACATACATGATTTCATTTGATCCAGTAACCCTGGGTGTTTTTTTTAGGAAAGGTATTATCTAAATTTGAGAAATAAGAGAATATTGGCCCTCTTGATAGGTTAAATGTGTTGCCCAACATCACAGGACAGCAGACACAGAATCTGGACTTGAATCTGGGCTTGGAACCAACAAATTGTCTTCCTTGAACCACATTTCCTTTGAGGCGATTAATGGAGCTCTAACGGGAAACTACACAAAGATCAGTGTCAGGCCTGACAGTCTCTCCCAAAATGTAGCTCCTACATGAGGACCGCACTCTGCCCTCCTGATGGCAGTTTTCTTTGTGTCACCAAGGTGACGTGTCTTCCCTGAAAACTCCCATCGTACAGTTAGGGCACCACCGAGGTAAATTACAGAAGTTCCCAACAATTTACTGCTTCATTAAATCTCATCTTACTTAGGAATAATAGAGTGTTCATTGCCCAATTAGCCACCTAGTAGCCATGCCTCTCTTGTGTCTGTAAGGCCGTTCACTCACTTCACTGTAGGCGGAGCGAGCAGGCCTCTGTGCAGTGAGGGGTTTGTGCCCGACTCTGACGTGTTCCTCAATTAACCCGATGTGAGCCAGTGGTGGTTACTGGGCTGTCAGGAGTTACAGACTGCCTGTGCTGGGTCAGCGCTCAGCTCCCAGCTCCAGAAGCTCCTCCAGAGAAAAGCCCAAGCAGGCTGTTTGCCCAAAGATTTGCAGGCTGTCCAGTACGCTCGCCGACTCGGAACATAGCATCCTGTGATTTATGTTCCACTTGGAAAGGCTAAGTGGAGCAGTAGATAAAAGCAGAAACCATGCTGCCTCAACACCCATCCCTGTGGTTTGTTGGCTGGGTGACTTTGGGCAGTTTAAAATAAAGACAATAACAGTACTTGCCTCATACAGTTGTTAGAAGAATTAGATGGGAAGCCTAAGTATTAAGTGCTCATCTGAGTGATTGTCACTGTTGCTGTTTATGAACATTGGAATGTAGTTTTTTGCTTTAATTTTTATTAATTTATTAATTTATATGTCTGACCCCATAGATTCTAGCATTACATGGTGGGTGAGAGTGGAGGGTGAAACTGCACAATGAATGTTTGTTAAATGTGAACTTAATTTTGTCCAACAGTAGATGGCTCCATCCCAGTTGACAGAAACACTCCATATCTCCTACCAAACAAGTACTTTAAAAAATGCAATGTGTTCTTGAGTTATTTTTGATGTTGCTCCTAAAATCAATATATGAACTAGAGATATATTTTAAAAGTGTACTTTTCCTGTATAAATAAATTTATGTATTCAAGCAGAGAGTTGTTGATAGCAGTGACTAACCTTATACTGACCCTTGTTTGTTTTTGAATCAGGTACAAAAGGAATTTAAAGGCTGTATATTTTGTTCATCCAACATTTCGTTCAAAGGTATGTTATTTTTATTTTTCTCTAGAGTCTAAGTGCACCTCATGCCAAGAATATTAAATGTTTAAGCGGTATTTCAGCATCTTAATTGTAACTATCACCATGATTGCTGTTTTGCTTGATCTTTTTTTAAGCGAGCCTGCCTTAGTACTTTGTCCCTGTGTGACTCTCCCATCCTGGTGGACAACCCTTATAAGTCAGTAGCCTTTCTGTCTCTGCCTCTCCATGCTCTGTGTTCACCTGGCCTCCGCAGCGCCTCCTGTTCTGTGGAATGCATTTTCTTATTTCTGCTTGTGACTCACAGCCACTTGTCCTTCAGATCTCAGTTCCACGTGTATTTTCTATTGAAAACGTCCCCTGACCAATCCTACAGCGAGTAAATGTTCCTGCGAAGGACCCCTGAGGATCCTGCATTCTTCTGTCGCATTTGCTTTTTGTTCTGGTTGCTTCTTTAAGCTGTCTACGAATCTCTTGGCCCGTAGGATCTCTAAGAGGCTAGATAGTCACCCTCTCTCTTCCAAGTCTACCCCCAGTATCGAATGCCACACCGTGGCGTCATCAAGAAGTCCAGGTCCCTTATTCTTTTACTTTTCTAGAAATGCCATCTTTCTGTCTTTATTGCCTTCCTGATCCAGCCTACAACCCCAAGTGCTCTCAGTTCAGTTCAGTTCAGTGGCTCTTGTCAACATCTGAAATCCCGTGTAACCTCTGACCTTTCATCACTAATGTTACAACAGTGCAATGTTCTCCTGCCTCCATTTTTGTTTCTGGTTTGCTGGGGAAAGCACACAGTGGGTTCCTCAGCAGATGGCCTGGCCTTCATTGCTGCCTACAGGGCCTCTAATGTGGCCACTGCTCGGTGCCCAGAATGGCTCTCAGCCCTCCCAGCTGCTCGACTTAGTGTCTTCTCCTTGCTTCTGGAAGATGGTCTTGTGTCTCAACAAAGAAATAGAAGCCATGACTCAAGAAGCCCTTGGTGTCTTCCCTTTCACTTTTAGACTTTCTCTCTGTTGCAGAAGTGTACTCCTTAAACGAAGGCCAGGCCCTCTATCTGTGCTTTGGATCCCAGAGAAATAATGGAAGTTAGCACTGTCTGAGCACACTGTGCAGGCCGTGTGTGGATTTCTCCCCTGAATAGTTGGCTTCATCATTATCCTGTCTTCTCTCCCACTCTGTCAGCTCTACATGCTGAAGAGTCTCTGTGTCTCTCTCCTCAACTGTACAACCGCATTGTTTAGTGTAATCGATGCTCTGTGCTTACTAGCTCTAGTCTTGTGAATTTGAACGCACTCCAGGCTGGTTTTAATTCCATTGTGTGGCTGAAACTGCTCCCACCAAAATCACCAGCATATATTTGTTTGTCTTTATCTTACCTGTTTTCCTTAACAGCCCTAATCACAGAGGGTAACTTTTTCCTTGAAGCATATTGTCTTGGCTTCTTGGAAACTTAACTTCCTGATAAGACTTGCATATGGGAACTTTCTGAGATGATAGAAACATTCTATGTGTTGACAGATGTTTGACTTCATGGGTGTGCATTTGTCAAAACAGCAAATGTACACTTAATATAATGTGTTTCATTTATTGTATTTAGTGTAATATTCACAACAAGGAAACTGAATGAACAGTGAACTCTAGTTAAACAGAAATCTTAAAGTTGTCAAGGATTCTTATTCTGTTTGGGCCCACAATCGACACACATGAACGCAGCGGTCAAGGAATCAAATGTTGTATTAAACTGCGCAAATCTGCACAAGACCTCTTTCATGTGTTGAAGAGCAAACGTCACTTTGAGGAGTAGGTGCACCTGTATCCATCCAGCCCTGGTCTTTTCAGCCACCTCATATGCATGTGAGAGTTGGATAATTAATAAGGTAGATCACAGAAGAATTAATGATGTTTTTAAAGAATATGGAAAGTACTGTGGACTGTCGGAAGAACAAACAATTCTGTCTGGGAAGAAGTACAGCCAGAATTCTCCTTAGAAGCACGATGGAAAGACTTCGTTCATGTATTTCAGACGTATTATGGATAGGAGCCAGTGCAAATGTTGGATTTGGGCAGAAGTCCAAGGAGATCTGATGCACAAAGTGAAAGTTATCACCTTGAAATTTCTTGAGATGGGGAAAATTAGAGAGTTGAAGAGCACTGGTGGTGTAGTGATTAAGCACTCACTTGCTAACTCCAAGGTCAGCGATTTGAATCTTAACGGCCGCTCCTAGGGAGACAGATGTGGCAATCTGCGTCTGTGACGATGACAGCCTTGGAAACGCCACGGCCGCTCTGTGTCCTCCGCAGTCTCTCAGTCAGCATTGACTTGACATGAGTGGATTTCTGTAATTTAAAAATCAAAGGATTATGTGATCAAATCTCCACTATTATTTTGTACTAAGTGAAAAACAATAAATGGAGCATTGTTAATGATCCTAAAATAATGAGATGACATCAGGGCATAATAAAACAATCACACCACACCGTTCGGCGTCTCACACCTCTCAGATCTTTTCCAGACCGCTGCTCCCAAAGTGATGAGAAGTCGACTGCTTGCATGACTCACTCTCCCGGCTCTTCCTTAGGTTGACAGTAGAATGCAAACAAATAGAATTTAAACCCATGTTGGTTCTTGATTTAGCAGATTTCATGAGTGTACAAATACAAGCAGTCCTTTCCTAGTGTGTGATTCCGTGACCCTAGGTTCTCAGGTTTTGCATTTGTAAGTAACTGGGTGAAAGAATCTAGCATTCACAAATTAGCACAACAGGTTTTGGGGTTTCTAAAAGTCATTTTATTGGGGGCTCTTACAGCTCTTATCACAATCCATACATTCATCCATTGTGTCAAGCACATTTGTGCATTTGTTGCCATTGATCATTTTCAAAACATTTTCTTTCTACATGAGCCCTTGGTATCAGCTCATTTCCCCCCCTCACCTTCCCTCCCTCATGAACCCTTGATGATTTATCATTTATTTTTTTCGTGTCTTACCCTGACTGCTGTTTCCCTTTACCCACTTTTCTGTTGTCCATCCCCCTGGGAGGGGGTTATATGTAGATCATTCTGATTGGTTCCCCCTTTCTCACCCCATCTTTCCCTTACCCTCCTGATATTGCTACTCTCATTATTGGTCGAGGGGTTTATCTGTCCTGGATTCCCTGTGTTTCAAGTTCTTATCTGTACCGGTGTATATGCTCTGCTCTAGCCAAATTTGTAAGGTAGAATCGGAGTCATGATAGTGGGGGAGGAAGCATTAAAGAATTAGAGGAAAGTTGTATGTTTCATCTGTGCTATGGTGTACCGTGACTGGCTCCTCTCTTCCTTGTGACCCTTCTGTAAGGGGATGTCCAATTGTCTAATAACTATGATGCTCACCTTCCCTGACATGATCACGGAAGACAAAAATGGGTGCATAAGCAAATGTGGTGAAGTAAGCTGATTGTGCCCGGCTATCAAAAGATATAGCATCTGGGGTCTTAAAGGCTTGAAGATAAACAAGTAGCCATCTAGCTGAGAAGCAACAAAGCCCGAAGAAGCACACTAGCCTGTGTGATCATGAGGTTAATGGGATCAGGTATCAGGCATCAAAAACACAGAACAAAAAATCTTAATGTGAATGAGGTGGAGTGCAGAGTGGAGACCCAAAGCCCATCTGTAGACAGTTTAACAGTCTGTTTGTTTAATTTTTAGTTTTCTTATTTTGTTTTGTTTTTTAAGTAGACGCTCAAATCTTTTTTTTGAGAAATATAAGGTTCCCTAAATTAACATATATGACTTATGCTTAGAGACCTTTGGGAATTAAACACTAAGCTATGTAGAAATAAGACCTTGGGTGGGTGTTGAAATGATTTGCACTCAACTACTAACGTAAAGGTTGGCAGATTGAACGCACCCGGCACTGTGAAAGGCCTATCCGCTGCTGCTGTGAAGGGGACAGCCCAGAAAACCCCACAGAGCAGTTCTGCTCTGGAACGTGTGTGTGCCGTAGGGCAGAATCAACTCACTGGCAGCGAGCAGGGTTTTATACAGAAATAAAATTATACAAATACAAACACAGAAAACGGTACTCATGGATCTCCCTGAACAGAAAATTGTAACTGCGTTTCCTCTTCCGTCCACTTGAGTGAGTTTGTCTAAATTAGGAAGGGGGAAGGAATGGGTCCGAAGAGTGTATTTCTCTTTCAAAGATTATGGATTCGGGTGGTCACTACCTTTTTTTAAAGACTGTATGCCTTCTCCTGTTCCCTCTCCTTTTTCCCCCCACCCAACCTCTCTGACCTCACCACCACCTCACGCCAATATGGTGCAACATCAGAGTTCTCACAGTCCTGTACTCACACTGGAGAAACCTTAACAAATCACATGGCTCTGACTTGCTCCATGTACAGATGTATGTCTCACAGTGACATGCAGAAAGGAAGCTGCACAGCTGCAGAAGATTCGCCATGATTTACCTTGAGAAACAGCACATACCAACTGACACTGTATAAGCTCAAGTATTGCCCAAAAATTCTTTCATTTGAAAAGTTGAAGAAAGATTTTTGAGATTTGGAGATGTTAACCATTTTCCAGGTGTTCATGAAGTAGTTATTCTACCAGACAGTGCCGTGATTTCCAAACTTCTGGCCAAACCCCCAGTGAGAAGCATCATGATGCTGTACGTGCATGGGAGCATGCATACACGTAATGGAAGCACAAGCTTCAGGAAGCAAAACTTAGCCTTCCCACATTCCCTAGTAAATGTTACTCCAGTTTCTTTCTCTTACTCCCTTTTTTCCTAATGTTTATAATACATTAGAAAAAGGAAAAGCCAAGAAAAAGACTATTGAAAGTACCATGGACTGCTAAAAGGACGAACCCAGCTGTCTTGGAAGACGTACGGCCAGAGTGCTCCTTAGAGCAAGGATGGTGCGACTCTGTCTTACAGACTTCGAATGTGTTGTCAGGAGAGACCAGGCCCTGGAGAAGGACATCCCTCATGTTTGGTAAAGTCAAGTGGCAGCAAACGAGAGGACGGCCCTCGAGGATATGGGTTGGCACAGCGGCTGCAACAGTGGGCTCAAGCCTAGTAACACCTGTGAGGCTGGCACAGGCCCGGGCAGTGCTTCTGTTGTGTTGTGCATAGGGTCACACATTGACTTGAAGGCACCTAACAACAGTGTTTACACTGGACTAATTTAGTTCTGCAACTCACTAATGGACTAGCATCTGTAGTTTCTAAAACACTATTGCAAGAGTCTTCTGGCATTAAGTTCAGTTTTGAAATGTAGTTTTGTGCTAGGGTAATTATTCAGAACAGTGTTTTTATTCTAATTTTGGCCACATAATCTTTTTTTTCCTTCCCCCTTCTTTTTACCAGGTGTCAACATGGTTTTTTACCACCTTTTCTGTCTCAGGACTGAAGGACAAAGTCCACCATGTGGATAGCCTCCACCAGCTATTTTCTGCCATATCTCCAGAACAGGTCGACTTTCCTCCTTTCGTCCTTGAATACGATGCTCGGGTAAGCAGTGCCAGGAGTTCTCCCTCACTAAGCAGTGTTACGAACTTGACTAAGCAGTGTTTATGAACACAGCGTTTTCATTACAAGATCTTATTAATGTGAATCGCTGTTCTTGCACAAATGTTCTCATGCCTTTCCTACAATAACTGAGAAAGACTTTGACCAAGAGAATCCTTTTAACTGAAACATACTTTATCAGTGGGAGAGTTTCTGGCTGGGTTTGAAGCCAGTCCTTTTCTCCCATCTTTGGGACAGTTAGACCTGCCTCGTCTCCCTCAGATGGGCTGCTACTTGCCTACATCCACAGAACCAGAAGAATCTGTTGTGTACTTTCAATGTTAATTGTAAAGTGGGTGACATTCGTCCAACGTTTCCATTTTGTAAAAGTTAGTATAATGTGTTTGAGATCATCCGCTGGTAACAGTAATGCTGTTGTTACTTATAATTGCATTTATGGATCTATTATTTAAATACTAATCAATAGATTACTCTTGCATTTAATCAGAGTTCTTTTCCATTGGGTATACTCAAAAGTATCATCTTAGTAATTTTTTAAAATAGTGTGCTTGACCACAAGCTGCAAGCTTATGAGGCTCATCACATAACAGATGCTAATTAAATATCCTTATGTATAAAGCATTTGAAAACCATGCTAAGACTGACTGAATTATTCCTCCTAATTACCATACAACATATATGCAGTAAAAATACCTCTCCACCATTCCTCTAACGTCAACTCTGCTATCTGTTCCCTTTATATGAAAGGCAATGTGTTTAATGTGTTCTAGTGGTGAATGAAAGTTCCCATGTGGCGCTTGCACAGAGATGATGTGTAATTGGAGCAGTTGGCTGTGAATACAAAGACTGTTAAATACATGGGGAAGGTAGAGAACATCCGTTTGTAGTTACCATTTATTTCGTGGCATAGAAATGCTCGTGCTGGGTTCTTTGGTTTGTGTTGGTTACAAAACACAAAGGACCATTTCTTAAGCCAGCACATGTTCTGTTTATATAAGCCTAATCTAGAGACTTTAATTAAAAATCAAGTATACCTTAATCACTGTCGAAGCTGGGATTTTATTGTTTTGTTTTCTTCGTGCTTTCTATTCTCTTTTGGTATGTTGATTATAGGTCTAGTTGATAATGTGATTTAGTCACAGTAAATAAGAAAACCGGTATTCTGACACTTGGTTCACTGATTCATCCCTCTCCAAATATACACACACATATAGAGAGAAAGCATTCTAAAATTGAGGTACTTATCTATATATGAAGGCCAAAAAAGAATAAAAATGGGGGAAGAAACAAAAGGTATCAGGAGATGGTGTGGAAGGGGCAGCGGGGGCAGATCACGACATGCTCTCACTTTACATACAGTGCTGCAGCACTCGGACTGTGTAGTCAGGGGGAGTGTTACCCAAGGAAGCACTGTCATTAGAAAGATGACAATAATGAAAACATACAAAAGTGGAGCGGGATAAGACTACAGGCACGGAGACAAGCAGAGACCATTACTGAAGGCCAGCTAGAGAGCCCTAGAGCTCAGGGCAGTGGTGGTGATATAATGGCAAGGCTGTGAAGATTTGGGACTCTGTAGAAGGAGGCATGTTAGGAAATAAAATTCATAGAATTTAGTGACTGCGTAGTCTTTAGGGACAGAGGGTGAAGGGATCCTGAAGTAACAAGCAAGGTTTCTGCCTTGGGACAGTTGATGGGTGATGTTTCTCCCCTTCCAGAGAGGCATGAGTAGTAAAACCTTTGAGAAGCGTGAGGAAGAAACAGGCAGTATGCTCGTATTAGATTTGACCTGCCACATGGTAGAGATACTAGTGTGCTATTGGATAGTATCCTTGCAACGAAACTGTTTCTTTTCATGGGAAGAATGGGACATGGAGCTGCTAACCACAAGGTCAGCAGTTGGAAAATGGCTGCCAAGATGAGGTGCTCTACTCTCCTAAAGGTGTTTCGTCCTAAAAACAAACCCACAAGGACGGTTCTACTCCGCCCTGTGAGGGTGCGATGAGACTCAACAGCGGTGAGCTTGGGAGCTGTGGGCATGCACAGTGGTGAGAGCTGGGCTGCCAGCCGACAGGTCTGCAGGTCCGACCCCCGCCCCCACCCCCGCCCGTGGGGGAAAATGAGAACAGGATACAGTTCTGGAAGCCCTGTGGCGCGTGTGTACTGTGACCTATGGGAGGATCACTAGAAGTCAGAATTGAAAGCAAAGAGTTTACGTAGAGAAAAAAAGATGAGTGTAGACTTGCGTAATTTTAGCTTCCTGTTCACTTGTTCCTTGTACATATATGTCTTTATATGGAGTTTAACGAGGTTGGCTGATTACAAGTTTCATTCTGTTTTCTGGACGTCATGGGACTTAGAAGAGTAACAGAGGAGTCTATAGCATGAAAAGGGACAGAATGTACAGTCTAGCTGTCTTGGTGAAAATTATACTAGAGCCATCCCATAAAGAAAGCTAGACAACACTCTTATAAATACAGTTAAAAGAATAAGTACACAATTTTGCCTACGAACAATTCATCAGATTCCCATGCTTAAGTATTCCCATAGGCTTCAGTACTGGCTCTGCCTGCCTTGCACAGTTGAATGTTGATGTGAGAAACTTGGAGAACGGCGGCAGTGGAGGAGAGCGATCTTAAAGATGAGCGTGAACCGTTTCTTTCCAGATGAGCTTCACAGTAGATTTCTCTGTTCAGGGCATGCTTCTCCAAGCATAGCTTCTATGCTTATGGAAAATGGCAGGACTCTAGTGAAGATTTTGATTGGGAAGTCCACATTTCCTATTATTTTAATTTACTTTCATTCTTTTCCCCCCACTTTTCAGAAATATAACCAGTTGTAGGATTTGCCTCCACATACATTTAATAAGCAAACAAACATTGTTTTGATACCTGGTCAAGCTTCCATTTTCTTAGCTATACTCTTGTTTCGGATTATGGCCCAGGAGCAGTCCCTGCTCTAATGACATACTTCCGAATTCACTTAGTGTCCCAAATCTCAAAGGAAGGACAGTGCTGAGGATGGTGCAGGACCAGGCAGGGTTTCGTCCCCTTGTTCCGGGGGTCGCTCTGAGTCAGAACCCACTCAACTGTACCCAACAACCACAGCACCCCCCAGTGTGCAAAGCTGGATAGTTTAAGACTCGATACTCCTTCAGACCTGTAGCATAGTAAACCTACAGCCATGCTGCTGCCAGCCTGCCCCTCCTCCTGCAGTCCCAACTGTGGACTGACTTAAGTGCTCATAAACATTTTCTATGTACGGCTTACTGGAAAACACGTTCTTTGTCAAAGCTTTTCCTTAAATTTGAGAAACCAATTTTATATCTCATAAGTCTAATCTAGGAACCGTAATTTTTATTAAAATTAGCCAAAGCGAAGGGCCAAAATCTCCTCTTCCCTAATTGATTGCTTTCTTCCCTTCACATTAAAGTTATGCATTTGCTTCTGCATCTTAATCTGGAGCTAGATGCCCTGAGAACTATAATTATTACAAGCCTTGCCACTCAGGCATGTCATGGGAGAGTCATTTCTGCCCAAATAGTTGTACTTTCTAAATTCCTCTTAGTGATCGTTAGTTTTGTTTCATAACTCGATATTAGAGGCAGCACACACTGACAATGTGGTCTAACAAAAAATAATCTGGTTTTAGATTCTAATAGACTTCGGTTTAAAATCACGCTCTGCCGGTTGCTAGCTGGGTGCTCTTGGGTGAAGGATGCCGGCCGTGGGGTCTTCAGTTTCCTCATCTGTGAAATGGGGACGATGCCCACCCGCCTCTTGGCATTATGTGAGGATTTAAATGACAGTCAGACAAAGGTGCTCATAAGGTACTTAGCATGTAGAATATTCTATAAGCAGTACTGTCATTTAGAAATATGACCAAACTTGCTGTCTCTGCCTCCTTAACACTGACTGACTCCAGGGTAGCTACTCTAATGCTAATGCATTGTACATACACAATCACATTGTGTCCTTGCATCACGTTCCCAGTTAAGTAGGTCTTGTTATTTAATGTTCCTGTCTCCCCCCTCCCCCACCTTCTTCCCCAGGAAAATGGGCCATACTATACATCGGATCCCCCGTCACCAGATTTCTGACCTGCCGTCCTCAGTGCTGCTGGTTGCCAAGAATGCCACTTTCTCCACGACTCGCTACCTACTGAAGTGATGTTCACTTTTGCTGTACAGATCCAGAGAGTCTTTTTTCCCCCTGCCTCTCTGGTATTTTTTTATTGACTGTATATTTTCTGGCACATAAGCAATCTCAAAATGGTAGACCACTCAGAACTGCACAATTATTTTAAATTTGTATATTTGTACCAAATGGAAATGTTCATTTTTAGAGCGTTAACGGAAATCGGGGAGCAACTTTGAGTGTCTTCCATTTCCTGAGAAGACACTGTATTCTCCATTAGACCAGCCACCGGTATCCTTCGTGTCAGCTCCTTCATGTTGCACGCTGCTTTTGTGGACTGAAGTTTTTCCTCAAAATCTATCGAACCATGTGTGCTGGCCAGGTGCACTGTGTGTTTCAGAGTCTGGCTTTAAGACCGCTTACACTTATACACATAACTTGGTTGTGGTAAAAGAGGATTGTCCTGGGACCAAGAATGTGAAAATGTATTTGACTGATCAAAACAAGCAAACAAAAGTTAACAAATACATGACTTGGAATTTTGCTGCTCCCGCCTCAGTTCCTCCGATGGTATGATTTGTTAAGATTGCCGCTCCTCTTGTCGGAAGAGTGAGGAGCAGGGAGTAGGCCACAGCGACCCTCTGCCTGCTGTGATCACGAGCAGTTGCTCTCCTCATACGGGGCTGCGCACCTTCATGCTCTTAAATGAAGAGCTTTTCCTGAGGCTCCAGTAGAGCCTTTTAAAGAGAGTGCGTCTTCCCAGCGTCCTGAATAAGTACTGTTTGGCTCTCAGTGCTACTATTTCGAAGGGCATTTTGTAGAAAAGTCACTTCAATATGCAGGAAGTTTGTTGCACTGAACAGAGCCAGGGATCTGATCATTGTCTACCGACCCCCCAACCCCAGCCCACCTCTTGCCCTGAGGCTCTATTTTGTGCCTTAGTTTGCTATGAATTAAAAATTAGAATGATGCTACAAGGGTATCATGGGGAGGGCCTTTAGAAAGTGTCTTTGGACCAAAAAAACCTGGGAATTTGTGGGGTGGAGTGTCTTGCATTCGTTTTTAAATGGGAATACAACACATGAGGGAGTGCTTGCTACAAGACACTCCTCTTGTCCTTGGCACCTTTTGAGGGATTTTTCTTGGGACAAGAGCTCTGCACCATGCAGAGCTCCGTCCTCCTTTGTCCAGAACTTCTGGCCACGCCTCCTCCAGTGCTGCACTGTAATGAGAGGCATCTGTTAGCCACCCTCAACTTTTCTTCTTGAATTCGGCTCAAACAATTATCATTTCCATCTGAGTGTCTCCATATTCCTTTTGATTCCTACACCACCCCCTTCTCGCTCACCCCATCCTGTACGTTGGCAGCTCACAGCAGGAAATGTGGGACTCTTGTGTTACAGTGTGCTCGGGATCAGTCTTCACTGGGGGAAAGAAATGCACTTTTCTTCATGTAGGATGGGGACCCCCCCCCCCCAAGTTGTGGCATTTTCCCATGTAAACAAGAAGGGATTTTCCAGTTCTTAGACAAGTGCTCCGGTCTCGTACAGGTATTGGACACAGTAGCCTTTTGTCTGAAATTAGGCCCACTTGTTCTTGCACATGAATGTAGGCTGCCTGTGGATGGAGCCCTGGAAGAAGCTCTTGTTCCGTTTTGTTCCCTAGGTCCAGGCAGTCAGGTGCTAAGCTTCCTCCTCAACAAGCTTCAAACAAGTTAATTCTGGTTTGAGCCCCTGCTGAGAATTTGCTTTTCCCTTCCAAACTTAAAAAAATACCAAAAACCATGAAACTAACAGCCACATCCTTCTCCAGAGGAGACTACAAGATAACCCCTCAAACCCTTGGCAGGGTGAAGGCAGAATGAACCAGTGCAAACCTAGTTGACCAGTACTCTTTACCCAACGACTTGCGCTTTGAATCTTAAAATCCTGAAACAGTAGGCTCATCCTCTGCAGTCAACTGGTAGATCATATTTTAAGTATCTTTTTCAGTAGAAGCAGCTATAAAAATGCACTCACTTTGGGTGTTGAAGCTGGACCAGACTGCTGCAGGTACTCAGTGTCTGATCGGAACTACTTCCTTTAGACATGGTGGAGACAGCAAGCTACTTTGGCATTTGAAAATAAGCCAGTACATATGTGCGATTGCTTCCAGGCAGATTTGAAAGGATGTTCCTTTGCTGTGTCCATACGACATGTTTAGTCACACGAGGAAGGTTCCACATACTACGTCCTAGAGTATAAAGACTGCAAGGGGCTTCGAAAAGTTGGTGGGAAACTGCCCTTTCAACTAGATTTCTCCACAAGCTGTTTGAACCTTTTTGTACATATCAATCATATTTCACAATTTAATGATTATTAAAAATAAGGGCACTCCCTTTCAGTGAAAATGAATTTGGTAAGGGGCCAAGGCCCTGTTTTTATAGTTGTCCAATGTGTATTGTAAAGTTATTTCGATGTACTAAATCTTGGGTGGGGGAAGAGTGATCTTGGAATCGGGTGGATTAAGTAATGTTTAGTTGATGTCTGCCTTTGGCAAAAAGCTAGCCTGGATTAACACCCCATTTTCAAGGACACAAAGGGGTGGCTGGGTGGAGATGACCATTAGCATCTGATGTTAATTCAAAGCACCACCAAGTCCTTAACTCAGTTAAACCTTGGCCACGCCAAATGTTAGTTGAATTGCTAAAGACACAACTTAAAAATATTAAGTTCATTAATTCATGCAAGGGCTAATACTGTTTTTAGAACAAGTACACTTCTTGTTTCAGCATATATTTCTATTCTTTTAAATTCATGTGTAGCTAAGATGCTTAATAATGAAAATGATCCCTTTACAAAAGCTCAGTCTTCATTGCTCTCTATGAGTAAAAGACCTAATTGTGCATATTTTAGTAGTTTCAATATACACCTTATTTCATTAGCTAATGTTCTTGTTTTTCAGAGGAATCCCTCTGCAGTATTTTTTGTTGTTGTTGATCTTTTTTTTTTTTTTTAACATTTTATTAGGGGCTCATACAACTGTTATCCCAATCCATACACACATCAATTGTGTAAAGCGCATTTGTACATTGTTTCTCAAAACATTTTCTCTCCATTTAAACCCCCGACATTAGGTCCTCATTTTCCCCTCCCTCCCCGTTCCACCCTCCCGCATGAGCCCTTGATAGTTTATAAATGAGTATTTTGTCATATCTTGCCCTGTCTGACGTCTCCCTTCATCCACTTTTCGGTTGTCTGTCCCCCAGGGAGGAGGTCACACACAGTTCCATGTAATCGGTTCCCTCTTTCCTACCCATTCTCCCTTTACCCTCCCTGTTTTGCCACTCACACCACGGGTCCTATAGGGCTCATCCGTCCTGGATTCCCTGTATTTTCAGTTCCTATCTGTACCAGTCTGGTACAGCCTCCTCTGGTCTAGCCAGTCTCCCTCTGCAGTATTTTGAGGGTAATCGATACCTCTTTTTTTTTTCTGCCAAAAGTATTCTACCACGCAGATTTGTAGATTCTACAAAACCTGATTTGTAGAATATTTTTGGTAGAAGAAAAATAGATGTAGATTTTAAATCAATTTTTTTAAAGTCTGAAAGGCATACAACAGCTCCCTTCTCTAGAGAAAGATGAATGTGTGATCACTGTACTAGAGAAGGAGGGCGTGCCTGTTTCTCAGCCTCCTGTTTGCTTAGAAGCCATTTAATGAGTGTTGTCTTTGTAACCATTAGCAAAAAAGTGATCAAGTGTAATACTGAGTCACCCTTTGGGTTTCCCTCCATACCTTGTGTGTGTGTTTGTGTACGTAGAGTTTACATTGCTTAATGCATGAACAATTACTGGATTGCAAGTACTGCAAAGAGACTTGTATCATTTTGTAGACAGTGGATTGTAATAAGGATGGAAAAGATACCCTCTGAGGTCGGTTAGCCAGGAGAGGTTCAGATTGTGGTTCTCATGGTACCATCGTCAGTCGTCTGGATAGTGAGGCACCGGGGGTGCTGCTGCACTGGCACTAATGCGCCTGTGGCTTAAGAGTTGGCGCTTTGTTTGCACTTGCCTGAGATGTGGGAAGGTTTTGCCTTTTCATGATCTAGCTTACATCATAAACCCAGGGCTTTAGTAGGGATTGCCTACTATCCGTTACCATATACAAGGAGGCTTCAAAATGTTCATGGAAAAGCAGAATTAAAGAATGGATTTTTTTTTCTGTGAACTTTGTGAAACAGCCCCCCTCTTGTATGTATGCATATATGTGTATAAAGATAAATATATACATATTTATAATATCTACTCACACCCCATAATCTGTTTTACCTTCTTTGGGAATGATTTCGATGGTCCAGGTTAAATAGCATAAAGCAATTAATAGCACAATTCAAGCTTGGGATTTCACTGAAGTAGCCCTTAAATAGTATCTAGATCATTTTAAATACTGCAGGTCCTCTTAGATACTGGTTGGTAGTTTTGTCTCTACTTCCAAGAACAATTTCGAGGCTTTATAAGTACAATAAACCTTAAATATATCAAACCAGGGGTTCAAGAAGAAAAGCCTGTACATTCCTTAGGGCAGCGGTTCTCAACCTGTGGGTCGCGACCCTTTTGGAGGTTCGAACACCCCTTCACAGGGGTCACCCGAGTAGCAAAATTACAGTGATGTAGTAACAAAAGTAATTTTATGGTTGGGGTGTCACCACAACATGAACTGCATTAAAGGGTCGTGGCATCAGGTAGAAAGATTTCAGCCTAAGAGACTGTACAGGACAGCTCTACCCTGTCCTGTAGGCCTGCCAGGAGACCTCCACTTGAAGCCTAAAGGGTTCAAACATACGTAAATACACTTAATTGCTACTGGGAGACCTATGAATGTATTAATTGATATCTTAAATTTTGTTCAAAATCAGGTTTTGATGAATGTTTTGTATTTTAAAATTGTTACTACTTTTGAGTTGGAAGTTAGAGCCCTTTTAAAGAGAATCTCACCCTATGCTTATGCAGCCTTTGAAGAGTAAAAATGGTAGTAATTTTACTACACCCCAAGATAGAGTACTCATCTTTGGCCATTTGAACCATACCTTTATCTAATCGGAGCCCTGGTGGTATAGTGGTTATGAGTTGGACTGTGATCTGTATGGTCAGTGGTTCGAAACCACCAGCAGCTCCTTGGGGAAAAAGACTGGGCTTTCTACTCCTGTCAACATGTACAGCCTCCGAAACCCACAATGAGTCAGCATTGACTTAATGGCAGCGAGTTTGGTTTGGGTTTTTCTCTAGTCAAGAAGCCCTGGTGGCGTGTGGGGTTAACCACAAGGTTTATTAACCCCAAGGCTTGAGGTTCAAACCACTAGCTGGGAGAAAGATGAGGCTCTGCTCCCAGAAAAATGGACAGCCTTGGAAACCCAATGTAGGGTCACTGAGAATCGACAGGATGGCAGTGGGTTTGGGGGTGGTTTTTAATCACCAAAGTTTAACTTCAAAAGTAGTACACAAAGAAGTGAGCTTTACTCAGCATGCCCTCGGAAGGCTTGGCCAGTACTTGTCAGCCTTCCCCTGCCTCTTGAATC